CCGAAATAAACATAACATCGTGGCGGGTCGATTTCAACGATCTGCGGAAAAAGGACCCATAGGTTTATGGGCCCTTTTTCCGGGCATGGCCTCAATTAATAATGTTTTTATTAAAAATATATTCCGGTTAATTCTAAAATTATCTTCAGAATCTAAAATAACATACAAGAATTTTAAAATGATATTACATTATGAAACAATATTTTTTAATATACCGGGTTCGTCTCAAAAGTGGCTCACCCCTATAACTTTATTATTTTTTCAGATAAAAAAGCAGATTTGTATGTTAGTATGCATATGACATAAATTAGGATTGATTTACGTATCCAATTGTTTTTGGTCTCTGCCTGTTTCACCGGAGATGATTACATCTTTTGATTTTTAAAGGCACCCTCGGTATATTGCTACTTTATTCGATAATAAATGACACTCTGATTGATAATAAATGACACTCTGAATAGAATTACTATCATGTTAACTTGAACAAGGGTGGCTCATTAGCATATTTGGAAAAAGCATTTTTTATGAATATATTGATACCAAACACTTTGTATTTCGAGTCAAATTGTCGTTATGAACCGCGTGTTACAATTACAATTAATGCCATTTAATAATAACCATATGTTAATTAATAATTACCAATATATTTACCATACCAATATACATTACCATATCTACCAATAATTGATTACCATATGCGAAAATGTCAAAAGTTGACATATGATATGTCATTCTATTCAGAGTGTCATTTTCTATCGAATAAAGTAGAAATATACCGAGGGTGCCATTTAAAAATTAAAAGTTATAGTCATTTCCGGTGAAACAGGAAGTGACCAAAAACAATTGAATGCGTCAATCAATCCTTATTTATGTCATATACTAGCATACTAAATCTAGTTTTTTATTTGAAAAAATAAAAAAATTATCGGGATGAGCCACTTTTGGGACGCACCCGGTATAATAAAGACAGTACCGAGTTAAATAAATGTAGTTTTCATTTTATCCACTTCCTATCACCTTCTTTGCTTTAATGGAACAGATTTATGTTTTCTCTAATTTACATAATAAGACATCACCTAACCAGAAAAAAATTACAACAATCATATTTTTTTTCTCTCCCTGTCGCCGATTCTATTATATCTGTGGAATAGATCCTGTTTTGATTAATATTAGGGGTTGTAAATGTTTGACTAAAATTAATATTTTTTTTTTAATAATTCCAAAAATTACGTAATTTCGATTATAAAATTTCTTCTATAACATGTATTTTATTATTTTTATCCTTTTTGGCCAAAACGTTTTTTCTAAACTTTTATTTAAAAAAAACCTCTCCTAAATTTTAATAAAGTATAAAAAACTTTAAATACGACATATTTTTAATTTAACTATAGGTTCATTAAAATAAAAAAATTACCCGGCTATAATACGGAGAGTTCAGGTGTACTTGAGAAACGAAAGACAGTGCGTTTCTCGTCAGAGTCGTCAGGGAACGACCGTTACGACAGAGACAACCTGTCTATCGCTCGTGTCGCACTCGTTATAACCTAAAACAATAACACAACAATAACAAGACATTGTCTGACCCATAGACTTAAAATAAAATATAGACTGAGCATCTCATTCATAAATAGCTGGAACATGCGGTCAGACACTGTCTTGTTATTGTTGTGTTATTGTTTTTGTTATTGTTTTAGGTTATAACGAGTGCGACACGAGCGATAGATAGGTTGTCTCTGTCGTAACGGTCGTTCCCTGACGACTCTGCCGAGAAACACAACACTGTCTTTCGTTTCTCAAGTACACCTGAACTCTCCGTATCATAGCCGGGTATTTTTTTTATTTTAATGAAGCTATAATTAAATTAAAAATATATCGTATTTAAACTTTTTTATATTTTATTAAGATTTAGGACAGGTTTTTTTAAATAAAACTTTAGAAAAAACAATTTAGAGTCCAAAAAGGATAAAAATAATAAAATACACGTTATAGAAGAAATTTTATAATCGAAATTAGGTAATTTTTGAAATTAATAATAAATTATTAATTTTAGTCAAACATTTACAACCCCTAATATTAATCAAAACAGGATCTATTCCACAGATATAATAGAATCGGCGACAGGGGAGAAAAAATATGATTGTTGTAATTTTTGTTCTGGTTAAGTGATGTCTTATTATGTAAATTAGAGAAAACATAAATCTGTTCCATTAAAGCAAGGAAGGTGATAGGAAGTGGATAAAATAAAACTACATTTATTTAACTCGAAAATTGTCTTTATTATACCGGGTGCGTCTCAAAAGTGGCTCATCTCCATAATTTTTTTATATTTTCAAATAAAAAACAAGATTTAGTATGTTAGTATATGAAATAAATTAGGATTGATTGACGCATTCAATTGTTTTTGGTCACTTCCTGTTTCACCGGAAATGACTATAACTTTTAATTTTTAAACGGCACCCTCGGTATATTTCTACTTTATTCGATAGAAAATGACAGTCTGAATAGAATGACATATCATATGTCAGCTTTTGACATTTTCGCATATGGTTTAATTGTAATTGTAACACGCGGTTCATAACGACAATTTGACTCGAAATACCAAGTGTGTGGTATCAATATATTCATAAAAAAATGCTTTTTCCAAATATGCTAATGAGTCCCTTGTTCCATTTGAAAAAATTGACATATGTATGATTAAAAATACGATTTGTACATCTTTTAACCGGCCTAGACAAGACACGAAACCTATTAGACGATCAAAACTATTTTTCCAAGGCTCCTTGATTAAAACTTAGTGTTTTTAACAACACCATGGCACCCTGGATTGAAATTTAAAATAGGATATGTTTTTAAGCGACAATGTCAAAAGTTGACATATGATATGTCATTCTATTCAGAGTGTCATTTTTTATCGAATAAAGTAGCAATATACCGAGGGTGCCTTTAAAAATCAAAAGATGTAATCATTTCGGTGAAACAGGAAGAGACCAAAAACAATTGAATACGTCAATAAATCCTAATTTATGTCATATACCTACTAACATACAAATCTGTTTTTTTTTATCTGAAAACCAAAGAAAAAAACTAAAAAAGTTATAGGGGTGAGCCACTTTTGAAACGACCCGGTATATTAAAAAATATTGTTTCATAATGTAATATCATTTTAAAATTCTTGTATGTTATTTTAGATTCTGAAGATAATTTTAGAATAAACCGGAATATATTTTTAATAAAAACATTATTAATTATTAACAGGGTTATAATTATGATTTTGTTACAATGTAAGTAAGTAAATAATGTAATGTAAGAGAAAAAAATCAGATTTTACATTTTACTAAAATATTATCTAAATAAGCGCCTTTCTACAACAACGCCACTGACTCCCAATGGGTAAATTGAGAGTTGCCTACCGGTCAAAAGTCGTTTCAAGACTTAAATGGATTATTAAAGTCAAATTTCTTGCAAATTTGGCACTGGCGAACCATATTTTATAGTTTTTGAACAGAAAAAGTCAATAAAATAAACAATTAAGGACTACAAGCTAAGAAAATGCGTTAATACAGCCGCGGAGATAGCGGCAACAAAGCTTTACCGCACACGTGCGACACGTACTACAAGGTAATAAATGAATGAATAGGCTCCCTCGCCTCTAATCGGTGTTGTCATATTGTAAAGAACTTATCCTTATTAAACAGTATCCGACTTATAATTTAGTAGAATAAGGACTATTTAATACATCTATGGAATATTAAAACCTACTTATTAAACTGTAGTATTAATATCTCAATATATGGGTATAACAAGAAAAAAAATATTGATAATATTAAAGACGTGACAACATAGGCTGGATGAGGAAGGCTCGGTCGACTGTACCCAGAAGTAAACATGTGTACAAAAAAGGTTGTTTGTCCGCGTTGAGATGTAAATAGTGTAGTCTATATTTTATTTTAAGTCTATGGTCTGACCGCATGTTCCAGCTATTTATGAATGAGATGCTCAGTCTATATTTTATTTTAAGTCTATGCAACGGATAAATATACCGGATGCGTCTCAAAAGTGGCTCACCCCTATAAGTTTTTTTATTTTTTCAGATAAAACAACGAGATTTGGTATGTTAGTATATGACATAAATTCGGATTGATTGACATATTCAATTGCTTTCGGTTTCACTGGAAATTACTACAACTTTTGATTTTTAAATCGCACCCTCGGTATTTTTTTTACTTTATTCGGTAGAAAATGACACTTTGAATAGAATGACGTATTACATGTGTCTTTTGACACATGTAATATTTTGACATTTCGCATGCGGTTCATAACGACAATTTGACTCGAAGTACCAAGTGTTTGGTATCAAATTATTCGTAAAAAAATTCTTTGTCGAAATATGCGAATGAGCCACCCTCGTTCCATTTGAAAAAAATTGAGATATGATCAAAAATACGATTTGGGCATCTTTTAACCGGCTAGAGCAAGACACTAAAAACATTAGACGATCAAATCTATTTTTCCAAGGCTCCTTGATTAAAAATTAGTATTTTTCTATGGCACCCTAGATTGAAATTTAAAATACAATTCGTTTTTAAACGAATATGTCAAAAGTTGACATATGATACGTCATTCTATTTAGAATGTCATTTTCTATCGAATAAAGTAAAAAAATACTGAGGGTGCCATTTAAAAATCAAAAATTGTAGTCATTTCAGGAAGTGATAGAAAACAACTGAATACGTCAATCAATCCTAATTTATGTCGTATACTACCAAATCTCATTTTTTTGTCTAAAAAAATAAAAAAGTAATAGGGGTGAGCCACTTTGGCGACGCACCCGGTATATACGGCGTCGTATAAATTTGCTACCTGCAATGTATGTAGAAAATTCGCTTGGCTTTTTATCGAGTATGTCACATTAAAATTGGATTTCAATTTATTTCATTCTAGGATCGCTTGCGTTCGTCGCTTGGTACTCGTCACCTGCATCGCTCGTTCATAATCGAGCGATGTCGGTTATGTCAATAATCGAGTACACCAGCGAATTTTCGCTCGAGTTATCCCATCGCTAATTAAAACGACCGTCTGCCCGTCTGTATTGTATAGTAATTAGGTATAGTCTATAATATCTAATTAATAAATAATTTAATTCACTTTCACAAAATTGTCTGTTTGAGGACGGCAACCTCTAACCACGTGCCGAGTTTGGTTCCAATCGACCCATAATTAAGAAAAATCCTCATAATTTCATCTATTTAGAGGCATCGGTTCGAAACGTTCGAATCGAGGTCATACGCCGAAGACAGAAATGAATGCCCAGGACGAAGTAATTTTTTCTGTTTTTCTAGAATTTCTCGAAGGCGTTGCAAAATATCAATATTTTCTGTTAATAATCTATCTTGCCGCTGAAAATGTTTTATTTTCTTTGCTTGTTCCAACATTTTTCTTCTGATCATATCAAATTTCCTTTCATCAAGTTCCTCTTTTTTCGCAAGTTGGTTTTTTGGTATTGATTGGCCTAAGGAAGTGTGTGCAATCTCTGGTTCAACTCTTGAACGCTTCTGTATTTGGGATTTTGTAGAATGACTGGGTAAAAAAATTGATGTACTACAAGTAGGCTCAGCATATCTGTATTGGACTGTAGCTGAAAATAATAAACAGTTATGTATACCGGGTGTTGCATCGTCGAGCGGGACATAGGAAATCCCATGTAAATTTTAATGGGGTCAATTATTGACTTCCCTAATTATTTTAGAGAATAATTCTATTTAGGTTTATTGAAGAGCACTAAAACCCACATTCAAAAGAATAACTTTAGATATTTTTGATTAGCCCGTTTACGAGTTATCGCCGGTTTCTTTTTAAATATTTCTCCTTTATTATGGCCCTGTATTTACTTATAAGCACCAGTCAAGGTAAAAGATAACTGTCAAATAAAGTTGTCATTTCAGAAATTTGTCTATTTAGTGCTCTATTATTGTTATTAAAAAATCATACCTACATGGGAAATATTAGCCATGAATTACACTACCGAAGAAAAAGTATTGATGATTAAATGGTATTATCAATGAAATAGTTATCAAAAGGTGACGGACATGTTTGCTGCTCTGTATCCGAATAGACCGATACCTGGAAAATCTATAATCGCAAGGAATATCCAGAGATTTCAGACCAAAGGTACCCTAATAAATAACTGCAGATGTGAAGCAAGGCAGGAACAAAGAGAAGATGCAAAAAATGATACCGACTTGGAAGTTTTATTGTGCGTGGAAGAGAACGATGGAAAGATCAGCACCAGGAAACTTGAGGATGAAATAGGAATAGATCACACTATAGCGTTTCGAATTTTGAAACGACGTAAAAACTATTCCTTCAAATATGAAAAGCACCAAGAGCTACGAGATGGGGACGATACTGCGGCAGGCGTTTTGTTTTGATATGATGGAAAGAGCAAACACGGATAGGGAATTTTTAAAAAACATATGTTTCACTAACGAATGCACGTTTACCTTAAATAATGAACCCAATGAAACAAGGACGCAATATCCACAGAAAGTAAATGTTTGGGCAGGGATATTCAGACACAATATTATGGGGCCATTATTTCTTACGCGAAATTTAAATGCAGAATATTATTTGGAACTACTCGAAAATCATATTTTACCTGCTTTACATGATGCCGCTAGGGAAAATCAGGAAGTTTGGTACCAAATGGATGGCTGCCCGGCACATAGTACCCTAGCTGTTCGGGAATATTTAGACAATTTTTTTAACTGAAACGTTATTGGCCTAAATCATACAGTAAATTGGCCAGAAAGGTCTCCTGATATTTCGCCAAATGTTTTGTTTCTCGGGGACCATTTAAAAAACAGGATATACAAGGATAAAAAATTCCCAAATCTAGACGAGTTAAAAAATGCTATTTCTGCCGAATGCAATAGAATTTCAGTTTACCAACTAGCGAATGTAAGAAGAGAATTTTATGATCGCCTGGGTTATTGTCTATTGGGTTATCTAGCAGTCGATGGAAGGATATTTGAACATCTTTTTAAATCCTAAAGTTCTAACAATTTAATAGTACTTAAATAAAAAGTTATTGAATATTGTAATAATACTATAATTAACCTTGTAATTGATTACTTTATTTTACTTTAATTCATATTAATTTGTATTTATAAATACATCTTTAAGATTTCCGATGTAGGAATGAGTTTTTAATAATACTAAAGCACTAAATAGGTAAATTTCTGAAATGTCAACTTCATTTGACAGTTATCCTTGACTGGTGCTCATAAGTAAATACAGGGCCATAAGAAAGGAGAAATACTTAAAAAGAAATCGGCGATAACTCGTAAACGAGCTAATCAAAATTATCAAAAGTTATTCTTTTGAATGTGGGTTTTAGTGCTCTTCAATAAATCTCAATAGAATTATTCTCTAAAATAATTAGGGAAGCAAATAATTGACCCCATTAAAATGTACATGGAATTTCCTATGTCCCGTCCGACGATGCAACACCCGGTATAAAATTTTGTGTGCACTACCAAAGAATATTATAATTAACACATTATCTTTGGCACTACGTACGCATACTTGCAGTGAAACTTCTTACTTCTATCTGTCCGTCTGCCCGTCTGAGGATCAATTCGTGTACTTCTATCCACGTACGTGCCGAGTTTGGTTCCAATCTACCCATAATTAAGAAAAATCCTGATTATTTCGTCCATTTAGAGATATCGGTACCAAAAGTCGCGTCGTGTCGCGTCGAGGGCGTCATCCTGTTGTAAATCGTACAGGTGCGTATACATATGGCGAGCACAACGCGAGCCGAGCGCGCCCTGTTGTGCTCGTTGTTCGCCGCGAGCAGCAAAAACAACGAGATCATAGTCCGAGCCAGCAACGATGGCTCGCGAGCACACAAGAAATATTTTTTTTTCGGTGTCAGTGCAGTTTTTGAACTCTTTTAACCATGAAAAAAGTGGCTATAAAATGTTTTGAAAAAAATTGCAGACCCACGTCAACTGAGAAACGTATTGAAGATATTAAATGTACCATTAAAAAAAAAGTTGCTACAAGAAAAAAAAGGGGTGTACTCAGACTTTTTGTACTAATATGTTTTTCAGATGGTAGTTGAATAAATGTCATTCTATAAATAAACATACTTCTTTTGCAAAGCTCACCTTTTCCTGTTCCTACTGACTCTTTTTCCTTTTTCCTCTCTCTTCTATAAGTTGCCAACATGCTTATATTTTTTTTCTTGCATATTTCTTCAGGTTTGCCTATTAAAGTGGCGATTTCCTTCCAGGCATCTATTTTTTTGTTTTTTTTTTAAATAATTTTCGTCTTTGGGGTCCCACAAAATAGTATGCGTCCTATAAAACTCAACTAATTGAAGCAAAATATCCACCATGTCGGTCCATGCTCGCCGATCAGACCAGAACGACGAACCTGCCACAACGCCGTCCAAATTATAACTGCGAGCTCCTTTGTGTTCGTTGCAAAAACCGACAAGAAGTGGATCGCGACGATCACACTGTGAGCGGCTCGCGAGGCGCTCGCGGGAGGCGTACACATATGACGAATTAAGCTTGTGGCAAGCTCGGCTCGTGCTCGGCTCGCGTTGTGCTCGCCATATGTATACGCACCTTTGGCCAGTAAGCGAGGATAAAAACAGGATATTACCTCCGAATTCTTGACACCCGCACCGATGGTCGTGAAATTTTAAACAGTGAATAGAGATATATGTAAGAAACAAAAGTTAAGTAGTAGCGATGTGCTTTCAACAACGAAATGTTAAGATATATGGAATGGGTCTGCCCCGTATCGATCGATGTTAGAATGAGACAGACAAGAAGAATAGCGATAGTCAGGGCAGAAAATGGCTTCTTGTCATTAAAACCGTGTGTTTTGTCAGTTTTTGATGCATGTTTTTAGAGATTTTTGAGTGTATTTTTGTTTCTGGTGGAGTTTTAAACTGTTATTTATACTTTTTGGGGATTATTACAAACATTTTTGGACCGCATAGACGATTTTTTAGTTGTATTTGTGTTGAAATGGTTGAATCTTGCAGTGCAGTGAATTGTAGCAATAGGCGAACAAAGGAGGTTAAAATGAAGTTTCACAGGTAAGTTTTTCCCTTTGATTAGTAATGGATTGCTAAAATGTTATCTATTTTTAATAAATAATAAAATTCCCAAGGACCCCAACTTAAGAAAGTTATGGTTACCTACTGGTTATGGTTACTAATTCAAAACAATATTTAAATCGGATTTCCAAATGACTAGAACTTATTTCCAATTAAAGTCCTACCCTAAAAAATGGCTAAATCTTTATAACTCTGCCCGATACCGATAACATTAACAATTTTACGGCGCTTGTCATTTTTCCACATCGGTCACCAATATATTCCGCATAAAAAGTCGCTCGCTTCAGATCAAAATTTTCAAACATCTCAAGAGTAATAACTTTTGTAATTTTAACGCCTATGCATAAAAGTAAAGCACTGTTACGCCTAAGCACAAAAGTACAAAAATATATTAATAAACAAAAAAATATTAAGTGTCAAATTCAACGAGTGTAAAAATTGTTGCTCGATTACTGTCTATATTATTAGCAATGTTTCAAATTGATTAAAAAATTACTTGTAATGTTTTAAGAAAAGAGTATGTCCTGTTCGGAGTAAAAATGTACTTTTTGTGCGTCCCTGTAACGTCGGAATAGCTTTACGATGGTCCTTCAATTCGTCAAAAAAAAGATAATTTTTACTCCTAATAAAACAATACACTATTGTTCGGAAATAGTCTTAATTCGAGAATTAAATTAATATTATCTAATGTCAAAGTGTAAGGAACTTACAGCTGATCAAAATGTCGGTAGGAATTTGGAAACATTTTCAAAAAAAATACACCGTTTGAAAAAAAATATATAAAACAACATATTTTCTGACGATTATAATTTCTCGGGAGTGAAGATATAGTCGTCTCTATATCAGAAGAACCTATTTCCTAGTTCTGCACTACACTGCGAATGTTTTCTTTTGTCACTTATACATAAATTTTAAAATTTTAGTTTAGCGGTCTAATGGATTCACACGAAATTACTTCAAAAATCGGTCCAACATTTAAATTGATGAACAGATATTTTTATATAGGTAGTTCTATAATATTTACAATTATTTTTAGATTTATTATCTGTTATATGTTATAGAAATATTTTTTATAGTTTTCTAAGACACATTTTTATAACTTTTACAGTTATTTTTTTATTTATTATAAAGTTTCAATAAAATTATTATTTTTTTTTGATTTAAATCACATGATTAAAATTAAAAAAAATCACTTGATTTAAATCACGATTTAAAACCAAGCCAGCCCTGGGTATAAGTATGTAGGTAAGAAGTTTGCTTAAATTATAGCCTTGAATTTTTTACTAACCAATATAAAAAATAAATTTATACCTAATATTTACTGTTTTTATTTGTGTTTAGTTGGGTTAATCTCGAGTAATATATTGCTATTTTTCAAAATCGGTACTTTTATTACCTTACAATTACCTCCAAATTACCTAAAATTAATTTAAAGTGTTTTTATTACTAAAAATCTGAAAATATTCCTCATATTTCCTATACCGGCCATTTAAATCCGCACGTCTTTTGCCCTGACTATCGCCGTCTCTCTCTCGGACCTCTCTTTCTTATGTTGGCTGCATATTCCGCTCATTGCTTAGATAGCCCGGGGCCATTCCATGTATCTTAACATTTCGTTGGCTTTCACCCTGGGGGTGAGTGCCACCCCTTCTCGGAGGTGAAAAATAAATCACCCATTTTAATTCCAAAAATCAATAAAGGGATGAATTCTAAGCAAAAAATATTCTATGACATTTTTTCAGAAAATTAATATTTTTCGAGTTATTTAGGTTTGAAAATATCAATTTTTCATCTAAAAACTGCATATTTTTCTGCCATTTTTTATAAATATATAAACTCGAAAACTTTTTATCGCAAACATTTTATTGCAAAACTCATAAAAAAGAAAAATTAAATTTTTAGAATAACGAATCGATTAATGATTAGTTTTTTGATTACCCTAGGTCTAATAATGGCCGAGTCATCACTCTGTATTGGTGATTTTTTATTTTTCAAAAACTAATTTGGAAACTTTTACCGTAAAATAATAGCGTAAGAACACATTTTTCGAAGAAAATGAATATGGCCGTTTTTACAGTGCTTGAAAAGATCTTTTAAATGCTTTTTTAAAGGGTCTTTTCAAGTTCGTAGCTCAACTACTCGCGGAGTTATGTAAAAAATAAAATGGTACTCATTTTTTCGGAAAAAAATTAACAAAAAAATCTATTACTAAAATCATAAAAATAAAAACTATCAATTTGTAGGAAATTACACGAGCTACAAATTAACCTCTATAGTTCAACAGTCTTCATTCTTATGAAATTTTTGGGTTTTAAGGGCTTAAGAAGTGATCTTTACACGCAAGTCAAACTAAAAAAACGTAATATCTACGAAATAAAGAATTATTAATAATAATAAGCAAATTGCCCCAGAGGAAGGAAAAGCAAAAACACTCCTCCGAAAAGGGGAGAGTAAAAAAACAAGAAACAACCTGACTCATCTCCACCAAAGGGCAAGAGAGGGAGCGAGAACCTCTCGCCTCTTCTCCGGCAGGGAGAGAAAAAAGCCAGGATGGAAAGCCTCCCAACACCGGGAGGCAATCAGGGACGTATCACCAGCTTTGCCGCTATTGCTGGACAAGTGAAAATGGCGGTGCTGCCAAAGGATTTCTCAGAGGTTGCTCTGACCACCGACCAGCAAACGTCTCTAGAAGAGACTATTCTGGACGAAGTAGTAGCGATCGGATCGCAACACAACGATCTACAAAATGTGGGTAAGCTGCATTTTGCGGGGATACACTTTCGGGTGGGCATGATCCTCATAGATTGTGTATCTCAATAATCGGCGAATTGGTTGGTGAAACTCGCACCTAAGCTTAAAAATTGGCAGGGGCCGGAACTGGTTGCAGTGAAGGGAGAAAACATCTCTAAAGGGGCGGCCATAACGGTCTTTCTGCCGAGGAGCAAAGGGAAAGACACCACCTACCCGCTGAGCCTTATCCAAGGTCAGAACTTCAATGTAAGGACATCAAATTGGCGAGTCATCAACTCGAGGGAGGAGGGTCATGGTCAGGTCCTCAATCGAGGAATTGACCTCAAATCCAAGGAGGCAATAGAGAAAGGAAGGGTGTGTACCCTCGGAGGAAGAACTGTTGTCAGAGGAGGATGGGAAATACCCTGTCCCCTCTACAACAGGGGTATGATGGGTTATAGATTGTGTGATGACTCAAGGAAGGGGGGCACACAATAGATCTTTAAGGTAGCAGTGATTAACCCCCCCCCCTCTTACTCATTCTACATTCTACAACAACCAAAAAATAAAGAGGCAACAAAGCAATGAGATTTTTGAATGTCCGTAGTGCGGTAGGCAGATAACATCACGTATCCGGCTTTTCAGTCACAGAAAAGCTCATGAAAGGAAACGCCTTGCGTGACCATCTTCTGACGCGTGTCAAATAGTCATGACTCAAATACTAATGTTATTATGTATGTATCATTTTTGTGACGCTCGGCGACCTTGGCGTGACACTAGCTCGTGTGTCGCGGGCTTGAATTATCGCGCGTAAAGAAGTTTCACTTCAATAAATTGCACCATATTTATAGCGTTACTACTTAGAGTAAAAACATAGTGGAGCAGAGAGAGTTCACCTCACCGTCTGACGATACTTATATGATTCTATGGTGAGCGACGATTTGAATGGCTGCAATATACTTTGATGCATAAATTTATCTCAGAATATATCAGCAGAGGTATCAGTATCGTCTCACGGCCCGGCCGCAGCGATGGGAACTCCTCCAAAATGTTTTCACCTTAGCCATTCAGCACTGTTTACTACTATCAATTGTACTCCTTACTAAACATAAAGCTAAACCAGATAAAAGTAAGACGACATTTCAAAAATATTACACAGGATTAGTCTAGAATAAGCGCGAATATTTTCAGTGGTGGCATATTTCGACCCCAGAAAAAAGTATATGAGGTTTTTTTATTTTTTTCGAAAAAGATATTGGAATTTTATGTATATTTCATTTGAGAAACGTAATATTTTGATAATAGGGCAACATAGGTCGTAATTTAAATTTTTAGAGGATGGAAAAAACGGAAAAAATCATGTGGTTTCCAAAATTTGAGAAAAAACTAACTAACTCGGCTATTTTGAACTATATTTGAACTTGACTTGATTTGAAAAGCGGCAAAGAGAAAATATATTTTTTTATCGAGATCTAGCAGCCCTGAAAATATTTGCACTTATTTAAGATTAAGACTCATCCTGTATAAATTTAAATATTTTTTAAAAATATTCTAGCACTGCAGGTTATTATACACCTAAATTGAATAATTTTAAATTTTTGTGAATAATAAAATTGTTTATACATCGAACTACTGGAAAAATTAACAAATGCATCTACTTAATAAAATACCGGGTGCACCCGGATGCATCTCGAAAGTGGCTCGCCCCGACTCTTTTAATTGTTAAAAATAACGAGATTTGGTATGTTAGTATATGACATAAATTAGGAATGATTGACGTATTCAATAATTGTTGTCAATCTTTTCCTGTTTCACCGGAAATGACTACAACTTTTGACTTATAAATGGCACCCTCGGTATTTTTTTACTTTATTCGATAGAAAATGACACTCTGAATAGAATAACATATCATATGTCAACTTTTGACATTCTCGCTTTAAAAAAAATCGTATTTGAAATTTCAATCTAGAGTGCCATGGTTGTGTTAAAAATGCTAATTTTTGATCAAGGAACCTTGGAAAAATAGATTTGATCGACTAATCTTGTTCGTGGCTTGTCCTTGTCGGTTAAAAGATGCCCAAATCGTATTTTTAATCATATCTTAATTTTTCAAATGGAACGAGGGTGGCTCCTTAGCATATTACGAAAAGGCATTTTTTACGAGTAATTTGATACCACACACTTGGTATTTCCAGTCAAAATGTCGTTATGAACCGCTTGCTACAATTTCAGATAAACCATATGCAAAAATGTCAAAAGTTGACATGTGATACGTAATTCTATTAAGTGTGTAATTTTCTATTGAATAAAGTAAAAAATTGCCAAAGGTGCCATTTAAAAATCAAAAGTTGTGATTTCTGGTCAAACAAGTAACCGAAAACAATTGAATACGTCAATCAATCCTAATTTATGTCATTAACTAACATACCCAATCTTATTTTTCTATCTGAAAAAAATAAAAAAATTATACGGGTGAGCTATTTTTTAAACGCACCCGGTATATTAAAAATATTACTACAAAGATTTTTGGCTCACATACCTGGTTTCCTATTACTCAAATTATCAGTATGAATAGTACCAGAGGAGCCTAAAGGTGGTTTTAAAATTGATGGCACAGTACCAGGCTTTAAAAACGCAGTGCTACCAAGCTCCCTTGTCCTAGGTTCAATGGAATCAGCGGCAGTAAAATGTGCAGAACATAATTTTACTGTAGATACATCATCAGTTTCGTTTAAATTGCAGAATTTTAACCAAGCAGCCTTTAAACTGGGATTTTTTGGAAACCTACAAAAATAAAACGAGTTTTAAATAAATTTTTAAATAAATAGACACCTACTAATGTTAAGCTATACTCCAATCTTATTACTGATTAACCGAAAAGTATGTGCTTACTTGTACATAGGAGTTTCTTTAGAATAATTCATTGTTCTATCGCACAGAAAACAATAACCCATTTTTCTTTTCGTTAAAGCTATAGATTTATACCAAAAATGCTTAAATTAAAATACAAAATTGTTAATCAACTAAAAATAACAAATATCCACAAAGCATCAACGTACAAACACAGTACAGGAGCCAAAAATAATACCAGTAAATGCGCCAACTTGCAAAAGAGTTGTGTGTTTCTTGATCAAAATCAATAAATAAGCGAAGCCATTCGACCAATAGGAAACCAGTATTCCGGTGCCCTTGCGTATTACGTCCACTTGCTACACAAGGCCGAAACCATGAGCCCGATCTATGTAACCTGGATGTTGTGTCCTATAATTTCGGAGCATAAATCCCATCAGCTTATATAGGAAAGCGGCGAATTCCGCTGTATTCATTCTCTATCGTTTATGCAGACGGTCAAATCGCCAAATATCCCATATTTCACCAGCTGTAGGATAGCTGGATTATAGGACAGATACAAATTAAAAATAACGAATCAATAAAATCAAGAATGTTAATTAATTAGCTTACATTTTAATGTAACCCGAAAAGCTAGATGTACTTAGGCATTATTATGCGCTAATATACCGTGTGGTGCATCGGAACGCGGGACATGGGAAATCTCATGTAGATTTAAAAAATGTCAAATATTATTCCCCAGATGATTTTTATACAAAAATTGTATTAGGCTTTTTTGAAGAGGCGTTAAAGTTGTACTGTCGTCTAGAATTTCGTTTTATTTGGAATAGGCATCGAAAAGTTATTTGCAAAAATCTACCTTCTAATTACTAAAAATTTATAATACGGCCCAGAGAAATCTACAATTAAAATACCAGGAAAATGTGATTTTATCATTGTCCAATTCGATGTGACATTTTTTGTCTATTAGAATTTATGTGGTTTAGATAGAGTGGTTATTTTTTTTCCGAATTAGAATTCATATACAAAAGAGTTGAACTGTGAATAGTATTCGCGGTGTGTGACTTGTTTGCTGTTCATTACTCGATTACTCGCAGGCCTCGCTTATACCATATACAACATACATCCACAATAATTTAATAAAGGGACTTTATTAAACTATACTAATTAATAAAATGTATACATAATTTCCCATTCACAGCCCCAAGAGAGAGAATGCCCCAAATTATTGTGAAATTCACGCCTCACAATACCACTGACAACTGTTAAGGGGAGAATCTTTAGCATTTTAATCTTTATCATTCTACATTCTACATGCCCATAAAGACGATTTTTGAGTGTGATGCTCTACAGGAAGAAATCGGTCGGCGGAAGATCCTTGGTCTTTTCCTACTGTATCTCCAGGAAACGGGAGTCAATGTTTTTCTTTTCTTCAATACGAAGAATATTAAAGTCATCGTTATTTTCGTCCTGTTCAATTATTTTTGTCTTCACACATATGCTTATACCTATAACGTAAAACAGATATCGAATACTTATCTAATAGAGCAAGATGCCAGGACCGCTAGACCCATAGATAAAAGAATGGACTAGACCAGGGGCGGATACAGAAATTTATTTTAGGGGGGGGCCAAATATAAAATAATGCAAAATATGCCTTTTAGGGCGCCATTTTTAACCCAAAAGCCTAATATTTAATCCAATTTACAGATTTTAGGGGGGGGGGGGGGGGCCCATGGGCCCCCCCTCTGTATCCGCCGCTGGACTAGACCTTACTTATTTTCTCACAAATGAAATGTATGAGATAATAATGGGCCCAACCTGCTAGCTTGGATCGACTTCACAGGTACAGGGTGCTAAAGGTAAATAAAAACAGAACTCACCTTGCTCATAGTCTCAGTGTTGATTTTTACTTATGTTTTAGAGAATATGGTTATAAATTAATCAATACTGCCAGACACTTTTATGCGCTAACTTTTACCAGACGCTTTAAAACTCACAAAAAATAAAACTTTATATAATTACCATAATTATAAAAGAATAATCTACAATCTCGATCACTAAGAAAATCTAAACAGTACCCTTAAAATAGAGTTTTTTAATTAGAATAGAATATCATATCGTGCAATTACCAAGTCGTTATAATTATTACAGTAATAAAGATGACTAATATTGATGCTAACAATTTATGACAAAATTGTTGAATAGGTAGGAATTAAGTAAAACCTAAAAATGAAGATTGTATATTATAAGTAAAGTTTATTTTTTTGGGAATCTTAAAGCTTTAGGTAAAATTTAGCGCCAACAAAAAGTGTGTATCTGACAATATTGATTATTAATTTTTAACAGTATTCTCTAGAACATAAGTAAAAATTAGCACTTACAAATTTTAAAAAAAGTGAGAAGTGAGTACTGTTTTTCCCTACCTTTAGCACAAACTACCTTAGGGACAAACAAGCAGGTATCGATACACTCAATGCACATATTAATACTACATTATCTCATACATTTTATTTGTGAGGAAATATATAAGGTCTGGAGGCTCTGGGATTTGGGCCTATAAGTAATAAAAAATATGTTTCAAATTGTAGACACTTAAATACTAAACCCAAAGCACAAACAACTGGATCATTTTCAGTAAGAAACGCATTCTTCTATCGACAATGGCCTGACGATGAAGACATTGGCAATTTAAACGATGAACCCGCCATGAAATCAATCACGTTGAGAAAAACGAGAAGAAAAACTGAACTAAATCCTCATAGAATACGATCTAAATACATAGCTAGGCCTGAAATGATAACTATGGTTGGAAATCACTTCATTTGGCAATATCTGGACAGGAAACTTGGTAAGGCATAACACTAATATATACTAGACTATAATAACTTTTTGTCCGTACTATCGGGGAAAAATGTACATTTCCTCTATTTTCACGTAAAAAAGTCTCTTAATAAATATCGCTACACAAAACTATTCTCAGAATATTTGGAACCAAAATAATGAATACACGTTAACATTGACAAAAAAATAACATATTGACTAGATAGTTATTTGACTGAAATTATAAATTTTGAAACTTTTTTTAATTAGTTCATAATCCTCACATTTTTAATTAATAATAATAATTGTTCCTAAAAAACTGTATTACATGTATTATTGGTATATGGCTTTCTCGGACATACGAGCGATATTTGAAGATGCGAGTGGTCAAGAATAGGGACCCTGGACGCTTGGGCAAAGTTGTTTCTTTTCCATTCTTACTGTTCTAAAATATACATCTACAGTTGGATAATTCAATAGCATTCAATAGCTATATTCAAATCATACTTAAATGTTCAATAAAAAGTGACATATGTATCTGTTTTTTTCCTGCACCCTTCAATTGAGACAACACGTGGTGATCAATATTTGCTAACTTCATCCGTTGCTCGATAGCTCGATTGTCCAACGACGCGTCGCGTCGGTTGTGTAGTAGGGATGCAAATCAACGTTTCAAAAGCGTCGATGTTTTAATCGATATATACAGGGTGGCTCCTCTCATACGCTGCGGAGGCTTCAAGGAGAACGACAGTTTATGAGCACTTTTCGAATTCAGAGAGCACTTTTTAAAAATATAGAGAGTTCTACAGGATGTTCCCAAAAAAAGTTACATATCAAAGTTGTGTTTTTTGTAATGGAACATTACAAAACCCATTACAAAAAAATCCATTACAAAAAACACAACTTTGGTATGTTAATATCAATGTTATAAAAACCCTACATTTTATTTATAAACTCACCTTCATTTTTCTCTCAGAATCCGAAAAACAATTAATATATAGGGATATATTAATTGATTTTTGGATTCTGAGAGCAAAATAAAGGTGAGTTTTATAAGAGAAGTATATGAATAAAATTTAAGGTTTTTTACATATTTAACATTTTCTAGAAATAAAGAACAATTTTAAAATTACAATAAAAGCTACCTAAATTGGAATTTACCCGGTATAGCCTAATATATAGTTAAATTAACTATTGTACTTTAAATCAAATTAAAACTTGATCCAAAAAGTTATACAGGGTGAGACAAAATTAATATTGAACATTAGTCACCTTTAACAGCATGTTACTCTTTTATTTTACATGGAACACCTCGAACACCTAGTATATAATTCCGATATTTAATGGAGAATTCATGTCTCTTCAAAATACTATTAAGGTTGCGTACCCTTCAAACAAAGATTTTCCTAGATATTTTCATTTACATGATGTGATCGGATGTTATTATATTCACAATTATTATATATAGGGTGTTCCATTAGAAAAAACACAACTTTGATGTCTAACTTTTTTTTGGGATACCCTGTATAATTCTATATATTTTTATAAAATGCTTTCAGTTAACTTACATATGCTGCCAAAGTTTGATTTCGATATAAACTACCGTTCTCCTTGGAGCTTCCGCGGCGTATAAGAGGCGCCGCGCCACCCTGTATTAATTAAATAAACAATTTTTGTATCGGTTTCAGGTCCAATGAATGTTGATCCCGAGGTTGCCCTTATGCATCACTATCGTGTTTGCGAATTTGGAGGTGATGACTGCGTAGAGCAATCATCGATAGTCGATCGTAGAGTATATACATACAAAGATCGTTTACTAAGTGAAATAAGAAGTAAATATTATAAGTTAAGAGATAAGTGTCAATTATTAGAATATTAAGAAATAAATGTATATTTATATATTATTTAACGGCCTTTTTTTATTTCTTATTCATATATTCAACCAGTTGTTCCAACTAAAATTCCTATGCATTCTTGCCATCTGAAAATTCCTAGTTTTTAGTAAACACTATTTGCCCTAGAATAATAAAATTAACAGTAATAATAATTTTACCGTAATTAATTTTTAATTTCATTTTGATGTACGTATTTTGACACATATAATAAATAAATACTACAACTTCTGTAGCTAATAATAATAATAATAATAATTTTAAGCAAACCTACAAAAAAATACCGTATGATCGAAAAAACACGGCGTCTAGTTGGCTGCGAAATGACGATCGATAACTTTTCCCGTATAAATTTACATATAAAATGACAGCGCTGTTCATTTCATATACAATAGCCATCGCTGGCACCGTTTTTTTTTATCATAGGTACTAGTTCTTAATACTTCTTAATATTCGCATTAACTTCATATGATAAAATAGATCACGTTGTTGTCATGTGTCAACAACTATCTTTTACCCAGAAATGCGTTTTTGCCTCTGTAATTTTGGCTTTTACAATAACAAAAGTACAAGAAGCGCTGCTAGCTTTTTTTCCTTTTATTTAATTTGCCTACAATGTTTAATAAGTAATATTTATTATTCTATCAAGAAAAACGAAGAAGTAGATCTTTGATTTATTTTACGATGACTTGTAGATATATGGGTTTCCTATAAAAGAGCCAATTACGGCAAATTATTTTTTTTCAGTTCCAATTACAGGTTTCTGCCTAATAGGTTTTTAATAAACCACACTACCAACTCTGCGAAATAGGACAAGTAGTTTTTCAAAGGAACGCTTATCAGGAAGATTCATATTTGTATATCTTTGAGCATAAGCCCTTGTGGCCAAGAAGCAATTTTCCTCACAAAATAAAATCACTAGTAACATCCTATTCGTTCTGCCAGCAGATACTACTTTATTTTACTTGATAAAATAATTAATACTTACTTATTAAACTATTGTAGGTAAATTTAAGAAAACTGTTATAAATTATAAATAATAATGTCCATAAATTAATGTCAACTTTGAAAAGTTACTAACTGTCACTATATAAAACTGCCATGGCGACACCAGCCATCTTGATTGCAATTTAATTTAAAAATTGCTTTTTATTCAAAATCTGAGCTAGATAGGTATAGGACACCTTAATATAGTTTGAAAGAGCATTTGAATCTGCTTCAATTTATGTTAAAAAATAGAGTGCTGCATTTGAAATAACAAGGTTTTTTATATAAATATATCCTTAAAATAGATAAGCAATACCATTTTTCAGTAAAGTTTATTTCTCTACCTTTAAATTCAGCATAAGAATTAATTCTGAAAAGTAATGTAGATGGTGTTAATAATCTATTCTATTGTAGCATGCAAATTTAAATATCTTGAAATATCTCAAAAATCAAAGATTTTTAAACATATTCAACACTTATAATAAATGCCTTTTTTGGGCCCAAGAATCCAAAAATGAAATAACATACCGGGTGTTCCATAAGAAAAATATAAGTTTGGTATGGATCTTAGTTCTGAAACACCCTGTATATTTCAAAACAATTTTAAATTGTACACATTGCCTACCCACATATACCCATAAAATATTTTGTTTCTACATCTTTTAGTTTTCGTATAATCAACCGAGGCGAATGAGGTGCGCCACACTGTAAGAGCTTTGGCACGAGTATATGTAAAAATTGGCGCCGGGAGGCACGTATAGCCGCCCATACTAAAATATGTTAATAAAAAGTTGGTAGACAGTTCTTTTAGTTTCAAAGTAAAGGAATTTTTCCAATTTTTTTTATCTCAAAAACTGCGACTTTGATTTTGATGTTATTACAAATTTTGTTGCAAATATTATTCCTAATCTTAAACCAAAAACCGCGTTTCGTTAGCTGCTGTAATTTTAGAGTTACGATTTTTTAAAATTTTTAACCTCCTCCCATACCCCCTTACCAACCCCCCACCGCCACCAAAAACTAATGGCCAGATTCTCGGGTGCCACAGTATGTTGGTGCCAAATTTGGTTAAAATCGGTTTAGCGGTTTTTGAGTTATCATCATAGATAAAAGACTTATACTATTGTTATCGTGTTACAGACTGACAGACGGACAATGGACGGACAGACATAGACAGACAGACAGACACCATGAAAATATTTTGTATTTAGGTCATTTATGACCCAAATAACACATTTTGAGTGAAATTAAAAAAACTTTTTTTGCCGATCTTTATAGCCTACCTATAACCTCTTGGTATGGTCGGCTAAAAATACCATTTACTTTATTAGATACATATTGAAGATATAATAAATCCATAGATAATAAATCATTCAATATCATTAAAAAATCGTTACGCCAAATTTATAACATAAAGTGAAACAGTGTGTATAATTAATATTAAATTAAAGCTATTTTTTCTATTTTGCATTTTTATTTTAGATTAAAAAAGTAAATTAAGTATGCATATTTAATTTTTAATATTTTGTGATTTGATAAATTGATTTACCTCTTAATTCAACTAACATGATATTTCTTTTTAAATTAATAAATATGTATCTGCCTTAAATGAACGTAGATATTATAACTATCAATAATGAGTAATTAATAAAACCCATTCGACCAAACTTATCATCATAAAAAATCCCTAAAATGTGAGACGTTAAGCAATAGCAGAAAAGAAATGCTTACTATTGCTTACCACAAAATTATTCACAAAGTTACCGACGCAACAGTATCGATAAAACATACAAGTAGACTTCAGCATAGATACGGTAAACAAATCCGAACAAATATAATAGTCTTACCCCATTCTTACCCTCAATAGAACGAACAATGTTTTCCGCAGAATTATAAAAATTATAAAAGTCAAAATTAGAGTAATAATAGGTTAAAGTCAAAAAAGTGACAGAAAAATAGCTTTTCAAATATGTCAGATACAGAAGCTGAAGCTGAAAATCTTCCTGATGACGAAGCCGGCACTGGTGAAGATGAAAGTGAATGGACTGAAGAAGCAGCTGATACCCGAAGTGTATACGATCCTGATCAATTTCTCTCTGGTCCTACTATCAGCGAAGATGGAACGCTAAACTTGGATATTTTAGAATTTGAGTATCCTTTATATTACGTTATCTAATTAATATTAATTATATTATATATTATAGTAGAGTCCAGATTAAAATGCGAGTCTCCGGATATCCGAGTTCAACTCGATCCTCAGTTTAATGTGCATGAATATAATTATGACAATATTTTTATTATTTTATTTTAGTATAATGGAAATTTTTGATGTGGGTATATCAAATTGTTTATAGTACGACTGTTTTCCATTTAGTGGCTTGCCCGGCTTCTTTATCAGTTGTACTAGATGGATCAGATTAGAACCCAAGAACTTAGTGATGAAAATTCTAAAAATAATCTGTTTTTTATGAAATTGTTTGATTTAATTAAAGGTTCTAAAATACAAACCCGAACAAACAACTATTTACAGTTTAAGTCTTGCTGTAAAAAATTAAATTTAAAAAAAAGTTATTCATATACAGGGTGGCGCCTCTCATAGGACGGCGACGCGGAGACTCCAAGGAAAACGACAGTTTGAATTGAAATGAAATGTTGAGCATATGTAGTATATGTTAATTCAAAGCACGTTTTAAAAATATAGAGATTTCTACAGGGCGTCCTTAAAAAAGTTACCCATCAAAGTTGTGATTCTTGTAATGAAATACCCTATTTATTTTCGAATTCTAGGAGAAAAATAAAGGTGAGTTTTATTATAGAACTAAATGACTAAAATCTAGTTTTTGACTTATTTATCATTTTCTGAAAATGAACAACAATTTTTAAATTTCAATAAAAGCTACCTAAATTGAAATTTACCCGGTATAACCTAATATATAGTTAAAATAACTATTGTACTTTAAATCGAATTAAAACTTGACGCAAAAAGTTATGCAGGTTGAGACTAAATTAATATTGAACATTGGTCATTTTTAAAAACAAGTTACTCTTTTATTTTAAATGAAATACCCAATATATTATTCCCATATTCAATAGGGAGTTCATGTCTCTTCAAAATACTATTAACATTGCCTAATCCTCAAACAAAGATTTTCCTAGATATTTTCACTTTTATGATTTAGTGTAAGTAGATCTTTATTTCTTCAAAAAAATCCTTTAGGGGTATTTCGCTACTGCACTGCAAGAAAAATCTACAAAATAAAATAGTTACTTTTTATTAATCTTTATTATTTTATAAAATCTAGGTGGCTGTGCTGTCTGGCGTTACACTTTTTTTATGCCTGGCGTTAATTTTAACAACTAGTTATCATCTTGTGTCAGTTAAAACAAAAAATTCTCAGAAATTTGCCGAAAATTGAAACTTTTCCTAAATCAGAGAGAATTGATATGATTCTATTAACCAATAATAGAATACTTAAATGCTCCCGATTTTTATGGGGATATATGCTAAAGACAGTGTTGTGACAGTGTTTACAAACTCGACCAACTATTGTCGAAAACATAAGAGAAATAATTGTGGCTGTTTTTCGAAGTAGAACTCAACGTATGCCTTGTGAAATGAAAAGATCTTTTGAAGAGATAATCATTTTATGCAGTAAACAGGAGAGGAAGTATTTTGAGCATTTGATTTCATCGAGCTAATTTTTGTCACATAATTATACGTTTATATCTAGTTTTAATTCTGTGATAATTAAAATATGTTTTAAACACGTATCTTTTTATTACAGTACTCGACATCCTTTTTTTTGTTAAATTCGAGCTAAAATTTGTCAAATAATAAAGATCTACTGACGCAAAATCATAAAACTAAAATATCTAGGAATATCTTCATCTAAAGAGTAGGCATCCTTAATAATAATTTTTGAATTTTCCATTAAACACCGAAATAATATACTGGATGTTCCATTTAAAATAAAGAAGTAACTTGCTTTCAAAAGTGACCAATGTTCAGTATTAATTTTGTCTCACCCTGTATAACGCTTAGGGTCAAATTTTAATTTAATTTAACATACAATGGTTATTGCAATTAAATATAAGACAATACAGGGTAAATTACAATTTAGGTAACTGTTATTGAAATTTAAAATGTATTCTTCATTTTCACAAAATGTGAAATATGCCAAAATCCTTACATTTTAACATCCTTACATCCGAAAATCAATTAATATATAGGGTATTCCATTACAAAAAACACAACTTTGGATATGTAATTTTTTTTGGGGGATACTCAGTATAACTCTATATATTTTTATAAAATACTTTCAATTAACCTACATATGCTCCCAAAATTTCATTTGGATATAAACTACCGTTCTCCTTGGAGCCTCCGCGTCGCATGAGATGCGCCACACTGTATAAATAAGTCGTTTGGTGCAATTCAAAAAATAAAATTAATTAACCAGTGATTCGTGATTTTAGTTGGGACTTAATATTTACTGATATCTGCAAGCATCTCACAGTTTTTCATTTAAAAACTTCCTGGTAGTAAACTAGTGTCTGAACTAAAAATTGTGTTAGTTAAATTCTCAAAACAGCACGTGATATTAAATATCGATCTTCATAGTTTCATATTTAAATCGTTTATTAAAATTGGATATTTATCTATCTGTATGATTTTTTTATGCGTTTGGAATGTAGAAAATGAGTGATATTTCTGTTCTTAAGCGTTGCTTCCTAAAGCTTAAGATTCATTTCCAACGCAGATGTATGATGATGCATGTTATTAATTAGTTGATTAATATTTTCTTCGTACAATTATATTAAGTAAAAAGCCAAAAAATCATATGAAGACCACAGAGGGCAAACGTCATTTTTCGGTGTAAAACAAGTTAACCGTTCTGTCGTATACATTCCATGATGCCCTATAACATGCAGTAGTCGAATGTATCGAGAACCAATCCCAGTCCGAATAATTGTCAGTTAATAATACGTGTTCTATGGAAAAACGATCTAACTAATCCAAGCGCCAAAGAAATTCGTTAGAAAATATGATTTTGGTTCTGATATGATGATATTATGTTGCCAATAAATAATAATTTCACGGTGGTGTAGAGGTACAGCTCTCGTCTACCAATTCAAAAGTCGTGGCCGACTATTTTTAATAAAATAAAAATAGTTTAGGTACCTAGGTCGCCTCAGCCTTAAATGAGTACTTTGGGATTCACAATCCTGAGGTAATAATAGGCGGTTGAAGCGTAATGCTATCCACGTTACCTTTCTTGTATGCCAAATGGCTCTAGTATGGCAAGCTGCACCTTGCTACTCCCAAGGCGTTAAATGCTATCTACGGGAGCTATTATTATTATTGTAATCATTTTAAATTCTCCGCCAAACCCCAGTACAAATGAATGTTACAGCCCCATTTTAATGTTTTTATTTCAGCTCAGCCCGACCGATAGTTTAGGTACAGCTCCTATTTTCCCATTTTTCCCTTTACCAAATTCAAGCTGTAAGTTTTTGCTATAAAAATATCATAAAAATGACATACAATAACTGCTTTTATACCGTCCTTATCTCATTTTCCCCTTAGAGTAGGGTTTCTTGAACTTTTTGCAGTCACGGACCACTTTCGCAATTTGTACAATTCCACGAACCCCTACTATCAGAAAATAAAAAGCCTTATTTACATAAAAAGAAAACGTTTATTAGTAGATTTATTACCCGTACACTAGTAAATTAGTGTGAAAGGTGCTGCTGTTCAGCCTCAATGAGAACGTTAAATTTTGGGGTTATCTTCGACAAGGCAAGACGCATATCGTCTACGATGTTCAATCGGTTAGGCATTTAGACTTTTTGTTTTTATTGAGATCAGAACCAAGAATCCTGCCTCGGCAAAGGTACGTAGTAGCAAATGGTATCAGAACAGACATAGCTCGCTTGACAAGAAGAGGGTAAGCTTGACTTAAAGAACACCAAAACTCGCCAAGATCTTTTGCATAAAATTCAGCTTTTAAAACTTCTTTTGATCTCATGTCAATTAAGTCATCTTTAATGAGACCTTCATCGCTGATATTATCCGTGTCGATTATAAATGGATCCCGCTCCCATGTTTCATTTTCAAGCGATGCTAAGTTAAAGTAACCTTCAAAAGAAGTTTGCAATGTATCCAAATGCTTAGCCACCTCTTTCTGTAACATTTTTGATATCGTGTTGCCGTCACCTTGTGCTATTAACTCTTCAAACATCGGAAAATTTGCAAAGTTAATAGATTCCACCCTCCTTTTCCAAAGTGGCAGTTTACATATGAAACCTTTCCACCGTTCAGATGCATCCACGATGGTCACCTGAAGAGACAAATTAATCTCATTCAATTGAGTAAATATATCTGTCAAATACGCTAGCCCCGGTACAAAATCTTCGCTCTCAAGATATTTAGACAGTGAATTTCCTTTATCTTTTAGAAAAAGTAACTCTTATGAAGTTAATTATTTTGACACGTGTAGACATAGTCCTTCAGAAATGTAGGTAAAGTCCGTGAAGCCAAGGCAGACACAATGAGTTATACATATTATGGGGGATCTCTTTCTTGACCAAAGCCGCGAAACCAGACGTATTACCAAGCATTGCGGGAGCTCCATCGGTGCAGATACTACCAAGTTTAGTCTTCCAGTCTATATTTTGTCTGTTGAAAACCCTTTTTGCCATTTCAAAAACATCTGAAGCCTTTGTAGTCTCGAAAAGAGAATTGCCAAAAAAAGTCTTCTTTAATACTACGTGTATCTTGCTGTACCTAACGGACAAATACCAAGAGTTGGCTACATTGTGACACATCGGCATCGGTGCTTTCACACAATTGAGTGCTGAATGCAAACGGTGAAGCAACTAAATCTTCAAAAACTTGTAAAACATTTGACGACATTTCAACAATTCTAGAATGAATAACATCGTTTGATAAGGAAACAGCTTCAACTTTGTTTTTTTGGATCCTTACAAGCATCGCGTAGAGTTTGGTGATTAAATACCTACTGAATTCGCCGCGCTAATCTATTTCTTTTCTTAATAAATATGTTTACAGTTAACTGGCGTAATGCGGACCGCGGACTCCTGATACACATGCTATGGACCCCTAAGGGGTCCGTGGACCACACTTTAAGAAACCCTGCCTAGAGAGAGTCATAATTAAAAAGAAGTTATTAACGGCAATTTAAAAAATATTTATATATTTTAGGTGATGGATCTTTCTCTTTATTTTCCTTCCTCTAAATGGACTTCTTCCATAATTGTTTTTGTATTTAGAAAATAATACATTCAATATATTATTTTTTTTCCTTGGTAAAATATAGCAAAACATAATTCTGCTTACAATAACTTATTTTACTTTAGATATTAAACGTTCAACAAAAAGCGCGTTTTTTACTACTACTCAACTTCTAGCGTTTTCAAACTTAAAATTCATTTTTCTTGAAATATTCATTTTGTGACTTAGATCGTTTTTCCCCTGTTAGGTTAGGTTAGATCTTCATATGTTATTATACAAAAAACTGGCTGCCACAATTCAAATATTTGATCAAAAGAACGATATTTCAGTCGATATATCAAATAAAAAATAAAAAAGAAACTAATATACAATATTTTCTATATTTTCCTGAACTATCTAGCTTTTCCTTTGGCTACGACTGTCAAAAATATTTTAATTTGACAGTTTTAGATGAAAATACCATCATATTTTCGTCAGGAAATTTTATTAATTTTTTCGATGTAACAACTAGAGTCATTACCTTTAGAAGAAGTGCTTTGGGAGGTGGAATAGGACATATAAGGGTAAGAAACAATAAAGTTATTATAAATACATTCAGAAAGATTTCCACTTACTATTACCTAAAGAGTGTCCAAGGAGCAAGGGAAGACTTCAACAGATGGCATTCAAAAAATGACAGAAAACACATTTCCTCGTGATTAAAATGAAAAGTATCTCTCTCAGGAATCCTCCAGTCGGACAGACCATAGATTACATTCTGCTTAAAAATTGATAACTTACATATAATTTTAATTGTGCTATACCGACCAATTAAAAAGCATTTTTTTAACAATATAAAATAACTTATATATTTATACATATACCTATTTCGTTGTAGAAAAATCCAAATCCAGAATTTTCTCATTTTGCTGTAGCTGAGTGTGGACAGGTACCTATAATAATAATTTACAACTGGCCCACATTGGAAATTATATGTGTATTGAAAGGTGGAGCTGAAAGAACTTATACCAACGTCGATTTCAAGTAAGTAGACAAAAAAAAATCGTTGTAATTTAAGGAAGTACTTTAGACCTAATGGTTATATAAAAATTGTTTTAAGAACACATGAGAACACCCCATAATTTTTTTAGACTAATTCGAAAACACCCTGTATATTGTCAACTTGACAATGACAGCTGATAAATCAAAAAATACCTTTTCAGTGAAAAAAGCCTTATTTTCGCAGGAAAAATTTTGATTTTTATTGAATTTGGGCCTGCGTTTGCAAATACTCGTTTGTTTTTTAATTTTCTATCTATCTAAATTTTAAATATCATAGTCAGAAATAGTTTTATTATTTAGTAACTCTAAAAATGGTGTTTTCTTGTTATGTTGCATCTTGCAAAGAACTAACAAAACTGCAAAAATGTACGTGTTTCCAAAAGACGATAAAGACGATAAGGTATGTATCTTAGATAAAAGAAAAATAGATGGTATGTCTTCGTTGTCTGATTTTTTTTCGTTCGCTTTAAAATCTATAAATCTCGGTCTGTTCATTAGACAGCCAGTCGACTTACGATCATTTACATGAAACTCTGTAAAATAAATAAAAAAATAAATTGTAAAATATATATATATATTCTTATGTTTTATTAAAGTTACTCTGATATATATCAGTGTAACTTTAAAAATAAATCCTTTGAATTCAAATATAAACATAAAAAACATTTACAGCAGAAAAGGCGAAGGCGCTGGGTTAAACGTAGTCTCCACTAAAAACACGGAGGGGCGCTTTGACCCAAAATTTTACTATTAAGTTTCATATCTATCTTAATAGTAGATTATTTTCTTGTATCTATGGACATGGTTTAGGACCATGTTTAGGGCTTCAAAAAAGTCATAGATAAAGAAAACAAGTTTAGATTGGAATGCTCGGCTTGCCGCCAAAACTTATAATTGTTTTGGAGTGCATACGTTGTACGGGATCTGGCGCTGCTATCGCGGTTGCGAAGTACAACCGTAAACAAGAACAGAAATAATTTTCTCTTGTCAAAGTCAGAATCTTCAAAAGTTATAAAATCTTTCAAAATGTATACTGCCCTCATTGCAAAAATACCGAAAAGTGTTTGTTGTGAGATTAACTTAAATTTTATTTACTCAAACCTGTGAAAATTGTGAAAAAGTGGCATTAAAAAATTAAAATGCTGTGTAAACTTCTAAAACCATCGTGGATCGTGACATAACGTCGCGCGTCGGTTAACAATGTTTCATAGGCATTTCATACATGTCCTTATATAAAACATAAACAAAGAAATAAAAAGAGACTGACAAATCTCATGGTAAAGAGTGGGACCCCGTTCCCGTAGCGCAACTCAGAATAACAATTTTGAAACCAATTAGCAGGACCATGGCAGGACGTACGTCTTTATTGCTATCTTTCTTTATTATGTGTGCTTCATATGAAAAAGAAAGAGATAGGTATAAAACGTATAGTAAGACATTATTGCACATTCTGGCTGGCGCCAAATTTAAATTAGCCATTATTAGTATTATTCTTTCGTTCTGAACGAACTGTAAATATTCACTTAAACTAATTTATTCCCAATACGACGTAAAGGGAACGTGAGGTAGGGAATAAATCAGTTTAAGTGAAAATTTTCAGTTTCTTTCAGAACGAAAAAATAATATTATAAGGGAAATTATAAAAAAAGCAAAAATTGTACAGTTTTATAAACAAATTTATTTATACATAAAAACAAATAAAATTTTTATAATATAATAACAAAAAATAACAGTGTTTATTTCACCCACCTACCAATTTTAAATGCAGAAGAACTGACTGTTGCACGAAACGATCGGCCACTTTTTTTAAAGGGCATTAAAAATCTCATTTTCGAAAAAAAAGTGGAGCTGCCTGGTTATTGCAGCCACCCCTTCAATTATTATCAGTAATTTTGGAAAAATAAACATGTCCACTGCCTAATTGCAATAACAAAGTGAATATCCAAGCAAAGAAGACTTTCATTCTTTCACTTTCATCCGAAGAGAATCATAACCCTGAACCATTTTCAAGTCCAGTTTTGATCCTAAAACAAAAGTAAAATAGGTATATTATTTAAGTTTCTATCTGGTTAACTACGGTTATAAACCAGCTATAACTACCCAAAAAATTAAATGTATTAATTTGTTATGTTAAGAGACGAAATATATTTGACACTACTATTTCTACTTTTTTCTTAATAGGTTGATAAATATAACATACTTACTTTTTTTTAGGGGTGTCTTTAACATATCTATCAGAGAAAGGGGGTATCAATACATATATAAAAAATAGATGATACTGGCTCCTGCAGCAAATAAAATAACAAATAATATAACCTAAAATTATAAATAACAAAATATAAATACCTATCTGAAACACAGGAATTTGTTCCCTATCCATATCCATAAGTCAATAAAATGGAGAGTTTAGAAAAAAAGATAAATCAACAAAAGAAAAATTAACAAACATGACGAATTGTCATCATGTTGTCATCTTGATATGATGACGAAAGACTATTGTTCTAATTTCTATTTAAAAATTACGTTTTATATAACTGATTCTTTCTCTCTTGTTATATTAGAATGAAATAGTGGGCCCAATAGACGCTATGCGCAGATCAACATAAATAGAACCAAATTTTGCGTTCTACGAGTAGTGCTACGGGAACGTTGTTCCTCTCTTTGCCATTTAATTTGCCAGTCTCTTTTTATTTGTTTGTCTATGATATAAAATACAGTTTCTTATATGCAACACACTGTATTTTATTTAAAAATTTAAAAGAAAATAATAAATTTGAATAAATAATATTTGGCGACATTATTCTGGAAAAAACCGAACCGCTCCGAAATTATCAAACGCTTTGGAGAGCGACCGTTGTGTTGTAAGAATAGCGTCAAATAGTATTTACATTGTCCTTATGGGGACCTTCCAATCTAAACTTGTTTCCTTTATCTATGAAAAACGTCAACTATATATTTTCATATTTTTTTATTTTTTTCTGAAACGCTATGAAAATGTTTAAAAGTATAAACGATATCAACAATTTTTTTATGAAGGATGCATTTTTCTGAAAATTCCAATAATAAAAAAGTTTTTGCCTTTTGTAAAGACAATCCGGAGACAGAAGTCTCGGTTCAGGGAATCCGAAATAAAATAATGCTACCTGAGATTACTTTAATAGGTAACTCTTACTAACTTCTAAAATCTTAACTTTGACCGAACATGACGAATTCTTCGAATAAACATAAATCAAAAGGGAGGTTAATGAAGGAAAAATCGGATAATTTTTATAATCAAATACCTTGAATACGAATTCTTTTGAGAATCAAATACGTTTAGATCATTTTATTAATTCGAATATACGTTTTATAAAATTAATTCGAATATACGCGACAAAGGCTTCCTTAAGGCATTTTCCATTTAGAATATAAAATCTTAGTTTAAAATTAAAAAGTTAACAGAGGCAAGCAAGGTATTAATATTGAATTTACGATATTGTATTCATAATTAATAATTATAAAAATTGCAGTATCTTGACTACTACTTACGGTACGTACATGAAAACAAGGCAAAAGGTTGAGATAAAATTTCAAGATTATAGGTGAAATTAAAAATTGTCTCCATATGTAATAAAATGTCTCCACATGTAAATGTCTCTCTTTTACTTATTGAAAAAAAAACGACAAATATAGAAAATATCAATATCAGTGATCATCATTTCTTTTTAGTCCTGATGGAGATTTAATGGTTTCACAAAGCGGTGATCCTGACTATCTGATCACCGTTTGGGATTGGCAAAATCATACTATTTTACTCAGAACTAAGTCTTATGGTAATGATGTATATAGAGTAAAATTTTCACCATATATACCAGGACAAATAACCACATGCGGTAACTATATGATGGAAACTGAGTATCATATCATCTGTTTTTTGCAAAAACTCACCCAAAAATTATGATTCTAATCCGATTGTTGCTGTTGGGGGAAGGGCAATGAAAAATAATATGATGAATTAAGTAAGATTTTTGCGTGTTTAATGTCGAATCTGGTCGAATCCATAAGTCGAATTTAACTTACTTTTTTTTTAACTTGCGAAGCCACTGACCACGACCTCGTTTTAGTCCTATGGCGGTACTTATGCACACATAAGCTCTCGGCTTTCATTCGAACCTAAAAAGTGGGTTCCGATTAGGGGATTCAATCCCGGGATTCCGGGATCCCGACGTTTTTTATCGGATTTTTTCAATCCCGGGATCCCGGGAAAATAATAAGAGATCCCGGGATTTTATATAATATAGTAAAACGCTATTTTTAAGGTTGTATATGCAAAAACGGTGATTCCCGTTCGTCGGTGATTCCCGGAATAATAAAAAACTTTTGAAACAAGAAGTAGCAAACCTCTTAAAACGACTAGATATAACAAGTAAAATCATATTATATTCTTCAGATAGTTCGGAATCGGATGAAGATTTTCCAATTGCTACTATTCAGAACAGGTACCAGACCTTAAATGATGACGTGTCATTTTCGGAGAGGCTAGATGAAGCGTTAACCAAAAAAATGTCAAATCGAATGACAGTGCCACCAATAACAAAAACTGAAAACTTGGAAGCCCAAATAAAAAATGGAATGGATACGTTCCAGAAGAGTGGACAACGTGGAACAAACTTACAACTAGCTTTTGATTTTTTAAGTACAATACCGCCTACAAGTGTAGAATCGGAAAGGTGTTTTTCGTCAGCAGGCTTGATAGTTACAAAATTTCGTTCTGCTATGGGAGATGACACAATAGACAATATTATGTTTTTGCACTATTTTTTTAAAAATATGGAATAACATTATCAGTCCAGTTTCTTTTTTGTTTTGTATGAGATTTTTAATTTTTGTTTAATGTTGTTTAAGAAGAATATTTACTTATTTTTGTGTTCCAAAGACTTTGATTTTGTTTTAACTAATTAACGTTAATTTTAATAAAATGTTCTTTGAAAGTAACATTGGTAACACTATTACTGAAATCCCGGGATTGAATCCCGGGATCCCGAGATTCGGGGTTAAGAATCAAACCAAACCAAACCATCCCGACAACATAAAATTGTCCGGGATTGAATCCCCTAGTTCCAATATACAACTTCTTTATTTTTAAGATTTTGATGGTCAACCATCAACAAAATATTCCTTATGTTTGCACCAAATGCTGAAGCTCTGCAAACCTTAATCAAAGCACGTGTTTTTGTAATTTAGGGTGTGGCTATCACGACAGGATCGGGCTAAGCCTTAAGGCAGATTTCTGATGTATAAAATATATTTCCTTCTTTCCACACCCGCTTTACTCGACCCCTGTCGAGATATACACCGGTGTTCATCTACAACACCGGTGTATATCTCGACACCGGTATCCCGATGAACACCGGTGTTGAGATCAACACCAGTGTCAGTGTCGATATCGATGGTGCCGTTTGTTTGTTTTTTTAGTTTTGTTTAATGTAATATTTTTTAGTTTATTTTACAGCTACGAATATTTGTTTCTTTATGTTTTGTTTTGTTTTCTGTTTGTTTTTGATTAAACAATTTTTTACTTTATAGTTATTTATCTGACGATTCCACTTTATTTTAGTGATTAGTCTGGCGAAAAAAATCTATTTAAATTTGAAAGCTTTGGGTTAAAGTCAGTGCGCTTTAATAAACGATAAAAATAAGCACCAATGCGACATTATTATTATCAGGTTTATTTAGAACTTATTAATTAACATTATTTCTTCATTAACCCATTTACCAAACACCGGTGTCGTAGTCAAAACCGGTATCGAGATGAACATCGGTGTCCAGACCAACACCGGCGTCCAAACCAACGCCGGTGTCGAGATGAACACCGGTGTTAAAACGGTGTTCCGGTGTTTAGAACAGGCCTACCTCTGAGAGCAACCCGAAAAGTACAGCGTAATAGACTCTTCAAAAAAGCAGGGGATATTTAGTTTTCACAAAAAAAATCAGTAAATGAGATTTTGCAACCAACGGATGGTATGTTATCTAAAAAAAATGTCTATACCTTAGATTCATATATCTCATTCATCTTATCCTTGCAATTCCAGGAGTGGCGCATATCAAGTTTTGGAAAATGGCATCGACATTTACAGGTTTAAAACTTAAAGGAGAAATTGGACGCTTTGGAAAAACAGAATATTCCGATATTCTAGGTGTCTTACCTATGCCGGATTCAAAAGTAATGTGTTTCTTTATAATCTGAATCGAAAACTAAGCATTTAAAAGCAAGCTCGATCGATACCATAAATATTATCTAAATTGTTAATGTATTATTTTAGGTAGTGTCAGGATGTGATTGGGGGAATATTTTGCTATGGGACGATGGCCTCATAACATTTGAGGTCTTTAGATCATTACGCAGAAAATGTCACGAGCAACCCATTGTTCAATTTCACTACTTTGATAGAGAATTATGGAGCGTAAGTTAAATTGCTTATTTTACGTACATAATATATTGGTGGTATTTTCCAGATATACCCATATAGTTTGAAAGAGCATTTGAATCTGCTTCGATTTATTTAAAAAAATACAGGGTGTTGCACTTGAAATTACGAAGTTCTTATATAAAATACATCCTTGAAATAGATCAGCAATTGTTGGACCTCTATATAAATTTAAGAAAGGAATATCATTTTCAGTAAAGTTTATTTCTCTACCTTTAAACTCAACACAAGAATTAATTCTGAAAAGTAATGTACAGGGTGTAAATAATCTAGTCTAGCAGCTTGCATATTTAAATATGTCAAAAACCAAAGATTTTAAACATATTTAACCTTTATAATTAATGCGTTTTTTGAGGCCAGAAATGAAATAAAATACCAGGTGTTCCATTAGAAAAAATATAACTTTGGTATGGATTATAGTTCTGAAACACCCTGTATATTTCAAAATAACTTTAAATAGTGCACATGCCTCCCACAAAATATTTAGTTTCTACCTCTTTCCGTTTTCGTATAATCAACCGAGGCGAATGATGTGCGCCACCATGTATATTATAGGTATTTTTTCACAAAGTTATACGATAAATAGTTTGTGAGAAATAACAAGCAACTAAGAAATTAATTCCACTGTAGCTGTAAAATATTTTACTAAGTTAAATTGTTTTTGCCGATCAGGTTTCCCGGACACTTTTACAAATCCAGGCCAGACCGCCCCGGACACTTTAAAAATCCGGACATAAATCCGGACCTATAAAAACCCTAAACATGTTAATAAATAATATAGATATATATGAAGAAAAGAAATATTGTTATTTAGTGATAATATTATGTACTTGATATATGATATGCATACATCCGTAGGTATCAATGGACGGACATGTAAAAGTTTGGTGGTTTGAACAGATCGATCAAGCTGATCCACCAGATGATGACAGAGTTATTCTTGTTGACCCTACTTATGACTTTTATACTCCCGGTGTAAAACTAATGGCCATTGAAAAAAGGCGGCCTACTGATCAAATGGATACCTTTTGGTATGCTCAGGTAAAATTATAATCAAAATATTGAGTTAATATAATCATAAAATTGCTCCACGCGAAGTCCTAGTGCTACTTACATTAAATATAACAAAATGTTGACTTACAAAGTTTTAATAAGTTGTTCTTACATTTTCCATTTTAATAAAATTTGAACTTAGGGCGCAATTACACGAGTCATGTGAATTGATCAAGTCATTTGAATTCAACTGACTTGAAAGCATATTCCAAGTTTACACATTTCATGCCAAAAAGCTTCTGTTAGTTAATTCAAAATGACGACAGTACTTAAGGATGTACTTTAAACTTCCAAAATTATGACAAAAAATTAACAGAAAGTTTATTACGTAAAAAAAACGTAAAGACGTAAAAGAAGAATATAAGTCAGAAAATGGATTAACCGCAAAACTGCTTATGGTGCTGTGGCGGATACCGGATACAGAGGGGGCCCATAGGGCTCAGGCCCCCCATAAAATCTATAAATTAGGTTAAATATTAAGCTGTTGGGTTAAAAATGCCGCCTTAAAAAGCTGATTCTGAGCTGATGATAAATTTCTTCTCAGCTGATGATAAATTCCTGTATCAGCCCCTATTATGGAGCATCTAACAATAATGTAATATCTGAGCTATAGTTAGAAGATCTTAGAGATGACAAGATTAATTTAAATTAAGGGCGAAGAAAATAATTAAGGGTGGGTGCAAACCAATTTAATTTAAATTAATCTTTTGTTGGAAAAAGTTGCACCCCGAATTAAAGACACGTTAATGCGTAATGCTATTTCTCCACGGCTTAAGCCAGATATGACTTTTCGTTCCCTAATTTTGTATTTCGGATTCTGCGTATTCCACAAAAATTCACATTTTTCATAAATATTAATAAACAGCACAGCATTTTCTTCTGGCCACCTACTGGCTACTACTACTATTTTATAAACACCCTACTATTTTATAAACACACATATAATTTTTGAACCAGCTTGAACGTCAAAAGTTAAACGATTTTGATCCATTGACATGATTTGTCAAGTTTAAACGGTCAAACTACATTCATGCGAATTGAATTCAAGTGACTTGATCAATTCACTTCATTCGTGTAAACGCGCCTTTACTAACAGACCATTTGAAACCATAGTCAAATACGAAGTCAAATATATAGTTAGTAATAACACAGATTATACAGATTATAAACTTATCGTCAAAAGCATTGTTTTTCGTGGTTCCAATTTTCGGAGTCGCGCACTAGTTAGGTTACTAGTTTGCGCACATAGCACGCCTACTTATGGCCTCTAAAATTGAGCACAGCGCCTGACCGGCCCAGTTATTACGCTGTTTAGACGCGAGTTTATTTTTGCCCACAGGAAATTTTACTCGTTTGCTCATCGTCATAAAAAAACAATTTTCGTACCACGAATTAGTATACTTACACTACTAGTATATATTATATAGTATACTTAATCTGTGGTAATGATGATCATTTAAAGATTCGAAATGTTTAGAATAAAATTTATGCAGGGTGACTCTTAAATAAATGCAAATATTTTTAGGGGTAGTCTATTTCGAACCCAGAAATATGTCTGAGGTTTTTTTGACGAAAAAAAATTAAAAGATTTGAAATTTTTTGAAAGATTTTTTTTTTTAATTTTTAGTTAAAAACATAATATCTTGATAATATGGCAACATAGGTACCTAGTAGATTAGAATTACAAGAAGAAAAACAGAAAAGATCCAGTGGTTCTTAAAATCTAGGCAGAAAATATATTTTTTTTTAATTTTCAAAGTAAAATAATTCTGTTATTTTGTAGTTATTTGAAAAACATCGAGACTCGAGACCCACCCTGTATACCGGGTGCGTCTCTAAAGTGGCTCATCCCTATAACTTTTTTCATTTTTCAGATAAAAAAAACGAGATTTGGTATTTTAGTATACGACATAAATTAGGATTGATTGTCGTATTCAATTGTTTTTGGTCACTTCCTGCTTCACTGGAAATGGCTACAACTTTTGATTTCTACCTGGGTATATTTTTACTTTATTCGATAGAAAATGACATTCTGAATAGAATGACATATTATCATATGTCAACTTTTGACATTTTCGCTTAAAACAAATCGTATTTTAAAATTCAATCTAGAGTGCCACGACTTTGTTAAAAACACTAATTGTCAATCAAGGAACCTTGGAAAAATAGTTTTAATCGTTTAATGTTTTTCGTGTCTTGTCCTGGCCGGTTAAAAATGCCCAAATCGTATTTTTAATCATATCTCAATTTTTCCAAATGGAACAAGGGTGGGTCATTAGCATATTTGTTACGAATAAGCATTTTTTTACGAATAATTTGATACAACACATTTGGTATTTCGAGTCAAATTGTCGTTGTAAACCGCATGTTGCAATTTAAAATAAACCATATGTAAAAATGTCAAAAGTTGACATATGATATGTCATTCTATCAGAGTGTCATTTTCTACCGAATATAGTAGAAATATACAGAGGATTTCATTTAAAAATATAAACTTATAGTCATTCCGGTGCAACAGGAAGTTACCAACAACCTTTGAATAAGAAGACTAAGGAAGGAGCATAATGCTATCCATGTATTCATGCTTATTTTATGTTATTTATTATTTATTCTACTACTGATAGTTGTATAAAGGTAGTAAATCTAGATGGAAATTGTGGCAGAACTTAAATTAACAGTGACACTATCGCGATTTATCGAAAAAGACTCTAAAATAGTTGGTTGTGTAGCGTGCGGTAGATCTCGGCAAAAATTGAGTGAAATAATGGAACAACTTTTCGCTAGTAAGTGACTATATAATATACATACGTGTAGTAAACCGATCATTTATGAAATTCACTTAAATTAACTAAATTATATATTTTTCTTGCATTTTAGCTTTTATTTATTACTTGTCAAAGATTAGATGTCAAAGAATTTAGATACGTTAATTTGACTTACCTGCTTCAGTAGCGTATCGGATGTTTGTGTTAATAAATACTTATTATAACTTATCTATTTTTATTAGAATTATATATTTTTATAACAATTTTAATAACTACCAACATTTATTCACAACGTAAAATAAAACAAAAAATTATTGATTCTATCCCACGTCTACCCCACATCATAGTTTTATATTTTGTAAATAAAATTAGAACGACACTGATAAACCAGAATTTAAGTCGGCCATATTTGAGGCCCATCGCGGTGCACCTAAGATTTTTGATATGCTCCTTCCTTAGTCTTCTTATTCAAAGCCAACAACAATTGAATACGTCAATCAATCCTAATTTATGTCATATCGTCGATGAAATGTAATAAATTGCTAACTTCATTATTCCGGTAGAAAAAAATATGCACATACACGTGTAGCAAGTATATTCATGCGTTAATATGATAAAGAGGTAACAATAATATTTGTTGGGGAACAATAAAACTCAATATTTTGTTAAAAATTTTACGGAAAAATGATGTATTAAACGTATTACGCAGATTATCACGTTTCAGTGACGATATACTAACATACCAAATATCATTTTTTTATTTAAAAAAAAATATAAAAAAGTTATAGGGGTGAGCCACATTTGAGACGCACCCAATAAAAGAATAAATTGATAGGTGCTAATGGTATTGTTAATGTTTGTGGATTTTTATTGCTAGGATGGCAACGGCGGACTATGGTTAATAGACCTTAATACAGAGAAAGAGCCCCAACCCGCTGAGCAGCTGTACTCCTGTCACGGAGGTAAAGTGGTCAGTATAGCTGCCTGTCCTTTCGGTCCATATCTTGCCAGTTTGGGAGAAGCTGGACAATTATTTCTGTTTGACTATTTAAATAAGACCAGGATATATCGTTACAAATTCCCTTCCTATGCGGTTTGCATGCTATGGATACCTCTAGATGTAAGTACAGAAAAATACAATCAATTATTCTAGATAGCGTTTTCCAAAACGCTGAAATATTTTAAATATTTAATTAAAAAAAAAACATTTATTAATAAGATTTTTAACGTTTTTGAATAAACAACTCTCAATCCACCTTCGTCTATGAGATCTCATTAATTTGCCCAATAGATGAGCGACAAAAGAGAGAGAATTGGTGACAAAAAGTATGAGGATGAAAGAGCAAAACAGTTTCTGATCTGCGAAACCAAATAAACAGAGCAACGGCCATACCCTTCCCCCCATGCGACCTGACAGCAAAATTAAAATTTATAAGACCTATTGGTCAAATGCAGGTCTATGACATATAGCATAGAAATCCAAGAGGAAACAAATAAAACCAAAAGCATTTTAAGGGTTGCTGAAATGAAGAACCTAAGAACCATAATGAGGAAGACTAGAAGAGACAGAATTAGAAACGCAAATATCAGGCAACAATGTGGAATACAGGACGTAGTGAGATTGCGGTAGGCAAAGAAAAAAAACAATGGTTGGCACACGTAAAAAGCATGGAACAAAACAGGCTACCACGCATAGCACTTGAAGGGAAACGCATGGGTAAGAAACAGTCGGGAAGACCTCCAAAAATATAGAAAGACAGTTGACCGTCCATCTTTCAACAGCTCCTACAGAGGTAACCTTAAAACTAACAGATCGACAGATCTCAAATAAGTAGAAGAAGAAGAGAAATAATTTCTATGAATGTGGTTCTTCTTTGAATTCAGCTACGTCCCCTTGGAGGAATAGTTAGACATTGACGAGGCTAGTTAGAGGGCAGACATAACATTTTCAGGAAGAATTTCGCTGCCTCTTAGGGGAGCGATGGAACACTTGAGGTGCTGTCTACACAATTCTTACTAACTACTACCATACATATACTATCATACCTCTACCCCCTTCTTTTATACTTATTGTAAGGCGTTCTTAACAAGATTTTGGGTGAAGTTTTCTGTATTTGGTGAGCTCTGCTCTGGTGAGGATGTGGATGCTCTCAAGGTCAGTTTGTGTCCATTTAATTATACCCTTGTTTATATATTAATAGTTAGTCAATGTGCCTGTATAAGTCGATGCTGCCAACTGGTGGCAGAAATTAAAACGTAAAAAGGGGCGGAGACTATTGAATTTGGCAAAGAAGTAGGGACTAGGAATTCTTCGAATTTAATTCTCGGTAAAGAATAAAATATCTTATCTGCTTTGAACCGAATTTTTACCTCAAAGCGTTATTTACATTTTTTATTTTTGGATATGAATTTATATTTATTTTGATTTTCATGGCCCCTTGTTAAATACTAAATTATTATATTAGGTATATATGTATATATTTTATTTCTAGATGGATAATTAAAAAAATATATGAAACTATACCTACCTACCTCTGTAACTTTGTAAAAAGTATGACGGATTTAACATGTTTTTTTTTAAATGTAACATCCTATTTTATTTTAGATCCTGCGTAAAATTATTACTTTTTTATGTATAATCCTTGTATAATGGTGTAACCTAAAACTAGTTTTCTAATATTTCAATTTGTTGATGAAGAAAAAATATTAGATACTATGTAGATATTTAAGGCAGATGCTACAGGGTGTTCAACATATATTAATGGTTAATTCTACGTATTTAAAATTAAAAAAATATCTGCAGACTCTTTCAATGACACAGCCTATACTGAGTGTTTTTTTTTAAAGTGGTTCACCTCTATAACTTTTTTATTTTTTCAGATTCCGAGAAAAAAACTAAATTGGGAATGTTAGTAGGTATATGACATAAATCGAGATTGATTCGTATTCAGTTAGTTTCGGTCACTTCCTGTTTCACCGGAAATGTATACATTTGATTTTTAAATGGTACCCTCGGTATTTTTTATACCGTAAGATCGAATAAAAACGGCGTCAGCGATGGCTATGAAATGAACATCGATGACATTTCTCATATAAATTTACATATAAAATGACAGCGCTTTTCATTTCATAGCCATTGCTGACGCCGTTTTTATTCGATCATACGGTACTTTATTTGATAGAAAATGACATTCTGAATAGAATGACAACTTTTGACATCAACAATCATATGTCAACTTTTGACATTTTCAATTAAATCAAAAATAGCATTTTAAAATTCAATCTAGTGTCATGGCTGTGTTAAAACCATTATTTTTTAATCAAGGATTAATCAAGGAGCTTTGGAAAAATTGATTTGGTCGTCTAATATTTTTTGTGTCTTTTCCTGGTCAGTTGAAATATGCCCATTTCGTATTTTAATCATAACTCAATTTTTTTTAATGAAACGAGAGTGGCTCATTAGCATATTTGGAAAAGCATTTTTTGATACCTAATAAATTTTGGTACCTAATTTTGGTAAATAATTTGGTACCACACACTCCGTATGTCGAGTCAAACTGTCGTTATCTTTACGACCGGTTACATGTTGTTTATTATCATGGCACTCTACTAGATTGAACTTTAAAATACTATTTTTTAAGTAAAAGAGTCAAAAGTTGACATTGAATTATTCTATTGAGAATGCCATATTCTGCAAAATAAAGTAAAAAAATACCGACGGTACCATTTAAAAACCAAAAGTTGTAGTCATTTCCGGTGAAACAAGAAATGACCGAAACTAATTGAATACATCAATCAAGCTACTTTTGAAAAACACCCGATATATTATAATTCTTTCTGATAGATTTTACAAAATCCTTCAACTTCTATTAAGAATGTCATATAACTAAATAAATCACTTTACTTAATGTTTAATAATAAATAATTTTTGTTTTGTCATATGGCAACTTGTTATAATGTAAATGAATTAAAAGAAGGATAAAATTCAGAACAGATTGCAAGCTGTTGAGTATAGGTGTACTTAATATACTTTCTTAACAAATGTTGAAAGGTTTTGTAAAATCACTAGAAAAAATAATAATATATATATCGGATCAGCCAAAAAAAATGTTTGAACACAGTGTAGCATCTAACTGCAAGTATTTTTACATATAAATATATTTTTTTTTCATCTCTGTAAAACACTCCTACCAAATTTGTGTAGTCCAACTTCGGAAACAACTGACAGTTAAGTAACATAGGAATAAAATTTTACTTTTTTTTTAAATTGTAAATACTTACTAACGTTATTTATAAAAAAAAGTTATAGAATTTTAGGCAGAATCGAAAATAAAATAAAAATGGAGTTTTGCATTAAAAAACATGTATCCGCCACATTTTTTGAAGCAACCAGTATACTCAAAAATAACATTTGAACTGTGTCTCTAAAGATTCTCTATACCCTTTTTTTTATTTTTTTGGAATTCCCAAAACAAACGAGATAATTAACTTTATTTCTTTCGTGATATCTCATTTTATAATATTTCGGAAGAATTAATCAGGTATCTTATTTTTATAATTATTAGAAATAAATCGGAATTAAAGGATAAGGGATATGTAAATATATACCATACGATAAAAAAAAACGGCCTCAGAGGTGGTTTGGAAATGAATATCGATGTCATTTGTACGTAAACAAATAGACGCCGTTTTTTTTCGCTCATACCGTATAAGAAAAAAAATTTAATAAAGCAAACGCATTTATTATACATGTATATAGATTTACATGGTATGAAGAAATTCGCATTATGATCTCTGAAGGTCCCACCAATGCTTGGTTAAAGTGGCGAGTACGACCACTTAGCAGTCACACCTATAATAATTTAATAAAATATGAATATAATAAACAAACTTATTTCTTTTAGATTTTTTAAAAGCGAGTTATATGTGTTAAGTGGTTTTTGATTATTTTAGGCTAAATTTTTTAGACATATTATTTTAGACCAAATTGTCTGCCCACTCAAACGTCTTCAAAATTATAATGTAGGAAATTCTTAATATGTTTTAATTGGGAATACTTTTAGAAAGTTTCATTTTCACCAAACAAAACTACGTATGTATAATAAATTGCAGTATAATCAACTATAATGCATGATATATACTAGGGGCGTCAAAACTAGATGTTGGGTTTTTCTCGATTATTTCGAACAGAACTCCAATTTTTTCTCAAAAATTTTTTCCAACTTTGTTTTGAAAAATAATTTTTAAATCCATAATCGATGTATATACAGTAATGTCCTCTTTTAGAATACATAATTATTTTCAGCTGCATCGATAAAATAAATCATATTTACTGATGCCAAGTAAAAAAATAATTAGAAAATTATTTTAAACATCTAATTCTTAATTTTTGTCGCTGATAAATAGATACATCACTTTTGTCGACAAACCTACTAATAAAAATTGCGTAAAAAATCATGTTTATTCGCAAAGAGACAATTGAAAACAATTTAATAACTATTAATTTGGGATATAGATCTTAATAAAACAAAAGTTGCATAAAAGCTTTGTTGATTTATGATATAAAATACAGTGTTTCATTTGAAATAGCAAAGAAAAATATAATATCTAGTTTTGACTCATCCTGTATATAATAAACAATTTAGTCTATTTTAATATAATTATATGAATTATATAATTATTAATTATTAACTTAAATTAGTTCCAGTAAAAAACGTCGATATTACCTATTTTTAACTTAACTTAGAAAGAGAGGGCTTTAAATATATATTTTATTATATAAACAATAAAATTCAATCCAAAAAGGGTCAAAATATATTCTTTGGTCAAAATGAACTCTATACGACTACGACATTATGGTATTTTTTGGAATGACAATTTAATAACAAATCCACCAAGCAAAAATACAAAATATAGCCTTTCTTTTCACAAACTCATAACCTTTGCTCATAACTAATAACTTTAAAAGTAAATATATATTTGAATCATCCTGTATATCTATAAAAATACCTCCCTGTCAAATTTACGCTACTTTTGCAAGCATATTTTACAAAAAATATGATTTGAGTGAAAATATAAAATATAAAATCTGATATGAAGCTTTATCTAAACACAGGGTTGACTGTAGATAAAAAATATTTTACGTTATCAAGTTATTAAGAAAAATTCTCGGAAAAATTATAAAATACACAATATATCTGACAATTCCAAAAGCAAAGTGAGAAATGAAACAATTTATAGCATAAAATCAGTATTTTTTTAAACTTTTAAGCAAACTGGGCATTATCGTTTAATCTATCTATCAATCTATCAAATGTTTATTATTAAACTTATCTCAGACTCTATAACATTTTTCCCAAGAGTGATTTAAAACAAATTTATATGAATTTAGAAATAAATATGAACAGTATTTACTTACCTGTAAAACAGATGCTTTTTGCTTAATTAAATATGTTGGAAAATATTATCCAGTAGGTACAAATACACAACACTTAAACACAACAAAATAAACTAATAAAATAATAGTTTCTAATCCAAATTTCACAAATACTGTTTATGTTTCTTCGCGAGGGACGAAAAAACTGAATTTTTTAATTACTCAGATATGCATTAAGGTATATTTCAATTCAAAAGCTTATAAATATTTATTTTTATAAGATTAACCTTTTCTCGACTTGTAATTTCGTTTCGTTTAACGAAATTACAAGTCGAGAAAGATCAACAAAACTGCCGAATTTAGAAGCGAATATAACTTTTTTTCCTTTTTTCTTGTCACAGTTGAAACAAACAAGGATAAAGCTATTTTCGTAAAACATGGGTGAAACGTGCTAATAAGTGGCCCAATAGATGTGACCTCGCGCCCTTCCATTTTTGAACGATGGGCGGGTTTAACGGATTCCCCTCAAAGAAAATCGTAGGGGAATACAAAAATTCAGAACGGGCAAGGCGCCACCTAGAAGACGGGCTTGTACTAAGCCCTCATTGTACATCTATTTATACATAATCAAGGATTATACCAAACGAATATGTGAGAATTGGGACTACGAAGGTGTTGATAGCTTTAAACAGGTTTCGGGAATGCAGTGGTGTCTTCAGGAGGGCTGTTAATCTTTGTTTGTATTGTTTTTTTTTAATTGTGTTTTGATATTTGTATGATTTATTCTGGTGTTTTGGTTTGGAACCCAAAATATTTATATGTCTCGTTCTCTGTCATGTTGTCTAATATTTCATTGTTTATTGTTTCTTTGTTTTCTGTGTCAACCCAATTATCTTTTTGAATGTGAAGTGTTTTACACTTACTAATACCAAATTCCATTTGTATGTCGGTTGTGAACGACTCTGTAATTTTAAGAAGCTCTTTAAGTTGTATCGATGTTTGAGCGTAGATTTTTATATCATCCATATAAAATAAGTGCTTGATTTTATGTTGTGTTGTTTTTTATGTCTAATTTCAAGCCATATTTGGTGTCATTGAGGGAATTTGGGAGTTGATTTAGACCCAGGCAGAACCACAAAGCACTCAGTGCGTCGCCTTGGAAGATACCTCGTCTGATGTATAGTTCTTCGGTCTCCAAGGTTTGTGATTCTGAGGCTAAGGTAATTTTTGTTCTCCACGTTTTCATTATTTCTGTCATGAAGCCTATGATTTTTGGGTCTATTTTGTAGATCTTCAAAGTTTTTATAAGCCAGCTGTGTGGTACGGAGTCATAGGCTTTTTTATAGTCTATGTAGTACATATGCAAATTTCTACATTCTTTTTCTTCCTTTTATTATTATTATTATTTATCGTAACCTTACATCTATATTTTTCATTATTATAAATTTGAATATAAAAAAAATATTTTAGATAGATCCAACTGGCGAAATTATTCTGACAGGTTTCGAGGATGGCCAAATAAGAGTATGCTGTTTAAAAATTCCAAAAGAATCGGAAAATTTGAAAAAGAACATATCGCTGACGATTTCGCAGGTAAATATCTTTAGTTAATTAAAATATAAATATAATACAATTAAAAATACAAAATAATTTTTGGTTAAATTTTAATATTTTAATCTTTGAATAAGAAGACTAAGGAAGGAGCATAATGCTATCCATGTATTCATGCATGGTGGGCGGAAAAGCCACCATAAAAGCTCTCTAGGGTGGGGATCCTTGACAGTTCTGTTTGACGATTCATTTGACACATTTGAATTTGATTTGAAATTTTGTGAATTTGTCAGTCTTTACGGAGCTTATTTTATGTTATTTATTATTTATTCTACTACTGATAGTTGTATAAAGGTAGTAAATCTAGTTGGAAATTGTGGCAGAACTTAAATTAACAGTGACACTATCGCGATTTATCGAAAAAGACTCTAAAATAGTTGGTTGTGTAGCGTGCGGTAGATCTCGGCAAAAATTGAATGAAATAATGGAACAACTTTTCGCTAGTAAGTGACTATATAATATACATACGTGTAGTAAACCGATCATTTATGAAATTCACTTAAATTAACTAAATTATATATTTTTCTTGCATTTTAGCTTTTATTTATTACTTGCCAAAGATTAGATGTCAAAGAATTTAGATACGTTAATTTGACTTACCTACTTCAGTAGCGTATCGGATGTTTGTGTTAATAAATACTTATTATAACTTATCTATTTTTATTAGAATTATATATTTTTATAACAATTTTAATAACTACCAACATTTATTCACAACGTAAAATAAAACAACAAATTATTGAGTCTACCCCACGTCTACCCTACATCATAGTTTTACATTTTTTAAATAAAATTAGAACGACACTGATAAACCGGAACTTAAGTCGGCCATATTTGAGGCCCATTGCGGTGTACCTAAGATTTTTGATATGCTCCTTCCTTAGTCTTCTTATTCAAAGATTTTAATAGTTTATAAGTTTCTCATAAACAGTGATACTGAAATTAAATGTATGGAAACGGTCGATTACTGGGCTAAGTATACGAGGTCCCGTTAAATGCAAAAAGTTAAATACAAAAGTTATAGGGTTAATATTAAATATAAGTATACAGGGTCGGTCATAAAGTCGTAGCACTTCAAAATTTCATTTTTTTAATGGAACACCCCCTGTATATTATTGGACATTTCAATTTTAAGCAAAAATTGTAGTACACATAATGTACCTAAATCCAACTGTTTCCGAGATATTTGTTTCCGAGAGTTTTGGTTTTGACATGTTAAACGAAACTTTTTTAATATCCAGAGTTAATAATAATATTGGATGTTAGATATATATTAAAATTAGATATAATCTCATTTTAATATTGTAAATATAAATGCTAACTTGAAAACTAATGTCAAATATTATTAAGCATCACAGTTTCAGAATGGCATCGTTAAATGAAACCGAACACATCGAAATTAATTAAATCGAATTGTTTAAGTGATATTTTCAAAAGTCAATAACTCGGAAATGGTTGGTTTGAGGTACATTGCGTGTCTCTGTTTTTGCTTAGAATTGAAGAAAGAATTGAAATATGGCAATAATATACAGGGGATTCCATTTAAAAAAATGAAACTTTGATGTGTCACGACTTTATGACCGACTCTGTATATTTAAATTTATTTCTCGCCAATAGACATTTAAAAACCATATAACTTTAATGTTTAACTTTTTGCGGTACCTCGTATATTTTACCCAATAATCGACCGTTTCCATACATACCAGCGACCCTGTATAGCTTTCACCCTTTTACGAGTAGCATGGTTCGCCTTGTTATTCTAGAGCTATCGGTATATGAAGTAGGGTGGATCGAAAAATCTCAAAAATGAAATTTCGGCTTGCTATGCCGCGCAAATTTGCCTTAGGTGTATACTAGCATAATAAAAAAGAATATCAAATTCGGGTAACATCTTCTGATCGCGCAAACCGCCGAATGTTTTTAAAAAAATACGACGAATTTGACAGGTTTTTTGCAATTTTTTTTTCTTAACTTGAGTATGTATTTTTTAGCGCTATGGCGCTTAAATATTAGTAATAGTATTGAGTTGCCTGCAGAAAAAATATTGCCTCTTTTAAACTATATCTTCCGATGCCGATGGCGCAAAGCGTCTAAATATTTGCAAAAAATGCAAATTTTTATTTTTTTTCCGTAAGTTTACACATGCAAATGTGCAGCTCTTTGCTTGTTTAGAAAATAATCCAATTAATTTTAAATGATTATCTAAACAACTCAGAACTCATCACGTGGAGGTGGCTACATTTTGAGTTCCACCCACACCCTTCCCTCCATCCAACCATTAAGAGCGTGTGCCGATTTATTCCGACATTTCCAATGTCACTTTGTAGTCTGCCTTACTGCTGAATTCGTTAATTGCTTGCTTCTCTCGATTTAAATGTTGCCCTAATGTATCCATCCCATTGCGGTCAACATACCTTAAGAGAAGCTTCGGTAACCAGCTTCACGCAATGCTCCACAGCTTGCGTGTGACATACTTACTCCCTTATATCCCAATCCGGGTATGAAGCTTTTGATTTCTTCATCACTTATCGACTTATCCCACCGAGAATGATGGTGGCGATATTTTTGTAGTGCTCCAATCTAATCATTTCCCTGTAATCAATTACGTCAAATTTGTGAAAAAATAAGTGTAAAAGTTCCTAATGCCTTTTCCAGGCAAAGCAGACTATCTGACATTTAGCACTCTCCTGAGCCCTAACTAATGTGACTCCTCTCATCAAATAGCATGGCTATTAGAATGTTTTCAGGATAGGCGTAAAAAGAATTTCGTTCGATTACCGGGAATACCACTGCCTTCAATTCATTACTCAAGTATCTAGATGTTAGTAGGAGATATTAGCCGATTGGGCTCCTCCACATGCGCAGTTCGCTTGACCTTGACATATGTGGCTTTCAAACCTCCTTGAGTGATTCCAGAAAGAACCTTGTTGTGAGACCTTAAACGACCTTTAAGGTTGACTTTCAGATGTATTTGAAATGCGTTTGTGTACCCTTCACAAGGAGCTTGATGGACAATCTTGAAAGACCTGTAAGATTGACTTTCAGATGTCTTTGAAATTAGTCGCCATGAATGTTCTTCTAGGCTGCCAAGGTGGGGGGTAAAAGTTTAACATTTTGTATATAAAGCGACTTTCATGGAAACGTATTCAGATATAGAATCTCTTGTAAAGTAGCAAGTCGTGTGTATACATTCCAAAGAAACATTGTGTGGTGTATTCAAAAGTGTTTGAAGGTATATTGCGTAAAAAGTTTTCAAATATTTATTACATTTTTTTTAAAATGTTTTTTTTTTTTTTTTTTTTTTTTTTTAATTAATTAAATAAAGCCTAAATGTTATGTTATAGTTAACTATGTGTTTTATTTCTTTATTACTTTAAAAATATATATAATTAAATATATGTGTCGATGACAACACTTTGGAAAAAAATTCCTAGCAACATTACCGATAAAAACAAGTAAACTTAACATTCCAATCATTTCTACCAAAAGCGTGTTGTTCAGACTTTCACATATGATCTAGTACAGCTCATAAATAATCGAATGGATAAATATATTTATGTTATTTAGGCGGCAGAGTTCGGTATTAGCTGGTGAAAATACTAGAGCCCTCCTTAATTTTGGTGTGTTGGAGTAAAACATGATATCACACTATTAATCTATTAAAAAAAAAAATGTATAAAATGTTAAGTAACTTGTAATAATTACAATCATTGAATACTCACACATGTATTCTTGATAAAGATGTGCGACGTTGTCACTGAAAAGTATGATTCTAATGAATATGATGAAGGCCAAATGTTACACGTTTATAAATTAGCTGTACAATTGAGAAAAATATGTGGCGACAACCTGAAATTCCTAAATCTGCTTGGAGACAATGATGATGATCGAGAAAGATAATTAAATACCTTAAAAACCTAAATAAAATCGTATTGGAGCACATTTGTGTGAAAAGTATGTGTATGGTAGCATTAGTCTGGATACATTTTGCTCTGAAATGGTGGAGGAAGATTTAAGAAGTTTTTTTACTTAGATATCCACTTCCCAGATGATATTTCTGAGAAATATCTCCTCTATGAAGAGACATTTTCTGCAAACATCAATCCAGCATTACAAAAGACGGAACCAGTAGTGTCTCGGACGATGTTGACACAGTAGATATCATGGAAGTCGATGTAGCAGCTAGCCTATGGCTAAATAATTTTTTATACACTACACATTAATATTATTTACCACCATGAAAACAAATTGTAAAACGGTCATCGATAAATATGTACTACTACTATCACCCTGTTTTTTTTTAATTATATATATTTATATAAATAAGAACAATTACTAAGGAAAATATTTTAGTTTAGTTGAAATATGGCTCCTTGTTAAACAATAAAGTTGACAAGTTTGGACGCAAAAGAAATAATATCAAGTGCGTACAATACGTTGTGCTGCTGGAATAGGATTTAAATTAACATCCAGTGGAGATTACTACATAACTCAAAAACGTTTAACGAATGTCGCTCATACTAGAGATAAGACAGATGCTATAACAAAACAATATATTGACAAGGAACTTGTTCAATTGAACAAGCATTTGCAAATAATAGTGGAAGAGAAATGAATGACGCGATAAAAAACTGCTGGCCACAGGAGAATACATCCAAAGGATTATCGTGTTAGAAAAAAGAGTAAATGCAGAGAAAACTGAACAATCAGGGGGGTGTTACTCCTCTTAATAATAAATTCATATAATAAAGTATTTCCGTAGAAAACAGTTAGTTTCAGAAGATGGCGACTTAACAAATACAATTGAATTAAATTCGGTCGTAAGAATATTCATGATACTGTAGAAGTGTTGCGCAGCATGCCAGGAATTGGATATAAATTAACACACAGTGGTGACTATAACATTCCCAAGGGAAAATACGAAGAATGTACCTTAGTGAGCCAATAGATAGGGCTGATGCAGTTGGCACACACATGCAGAT